CGTTGCCGAGATTGCAATAGTTTCTTCCCTCTTCGGTCTTATCTCCCACTACTTTAGCAATTTTTAGTTGATGCTGATGGTACTTGATAGCTGTTTTTAACTTTCCTAGGCCTTGGTAAGCGTTGCCGAGATTGGAAGATCTGTTTGCTATGACTATTAGTTCAGCATTAGTTTTTTCTAGTAATTGAAGCAGACGTTTCTCGTCATTTTCAATCTTAAAACGTGTCAAGGGTCGATAAATCATGAGCAGATTTGCGGAAATGCAGTGGAAATGTGTATTTTAAAAGAACAGTGAGATTATTAGATAGAACCTTAAAACTGGAATGATAATTCGAACGTGGGTTTCTTTTAGAGATTTGATTTCAAGTTATTGGAGGGTTTTAACGAGCTCTGAAGCGCATTTATTGGTTTAGGTTCGGTCGTCATGGTGATGTTCGTCTGGAGACAAAAATGAGGGGCATTCAGCAGAAACTCTGGGAATTAGTTAATACGGCCTCTTCTTTTGAGTTAAGTTTCGTGGAATAGTCGAAAGAACTCTTAACGAATATTTTAGCTTCTTTAAACTGCTCAGTGCAGTATAAGAGAACATTGCTTGCATTATGTGTTGAAGAATCTCTCCGGAACGTATTGATTCCCTTGAAATATTACTCGCATTGCATCTCGTATCACGTTTGAAACATTCGTTAAAGGATACGGCTAATCCCATATGCAACCAGCTCCTTGCTTCTTTATACATGCAAAGTTCGACACAAGCTCTGGCTCCTGAAAAGGAGAGAATAATTGTTGGTACGAAGTAACTCATCACTTTTAAAGTATAAACATATTGATAAAAGGGACTTAATTTCCCATTTAGCTGGGAACAAAAATTGTTCTAATGAAGGAAATTTGAACTCGTGGAAGAACTGAAAATGAACAATAAGGAGCTAATGCAAAGCGGCTACCAATTAAGCTTTAATTGATGATGATAACGATGAATTTATATCGCGAATTCTTCTTTTCAATGTGCTCTAATGCGCTTTTCAGCACTTTTCGGGCAGACTGCATTGAGCAGTTTACAACTTTTGACAGGGAATTTTTCAGGTGCCTCCTTGAGTTACGGAGAAGATGCAAGAAACGGGGCTCACGGTTTTCCCTTCTTATCCGGGACAAGAATATCAAACCATTTGCTGAAGTCACAGCTTAGACGGCAGCACACTGTCCTCAGATATTTTAAGACTTAGGGTGATGGTCCGGTCTACTGCTTGAGCCCTCGACCTCCGGCGCTCTAGAACGTGAACTAACCAGGCAGCGGTATTTGAGAGCTTACTGACATTTTCTTATGCTTTTTACCCACATAACAGACATTGACACACCAGATACAATTGACACTTGGGTGTGCCCTTAACTGCTACAAACCACACAATCCTCTTTTGACGAGAATAGAATGTTGATGACTTACGTCTGAAAAACTCACCTTTCTTAATAGCTTTGTTTAAAGTGGGTTCCAATTGGACGGCAACTGTTGCATCATCGAGACATTCCACGTAGTTTGCTATGAGATTCAGGAAAGAAGGTTTAAAAAAGTGGTCATCACATGGAATTGCAACAAAGAATCCTTTAAAAATTACAATTGCTTTAAATGTAACGATCATCATTTCTTTGCTTAATTTTCATCCGCTACAGGGCGATTTATGTTTTTACGCTACTTTCCTGCAGTTTCTCAATTTGTTCTTTTGTTGATGTTATCTTGTAACGCTGCATGACAGATTTATATGTTTACATATGAAATTGTTACCCAAACGGAAATGAGCTGTTGCCCTGTTGCTGTAAAGCTTGGCGTTCAGCCGTTTATCTTTGCAGTTCACTTGAAGTCCTTCCGTGTAGGAGTTTATCGCGTTATTAGCTTCTCCTTGTCTGTATTCTTTGTTACCTTCCTCGAGACATGCTTTCGCTATCCCTGAAAACATTAAGGTTTTAGTGTTAATGATTTAGTAATGAGTGATACGACCCTTGACGGATTATGCCAACTTTATAGTGGCAAACGAGCTCTAAGGTTAAAGGAGCTTAAAGCTATGAACAATAATAATAATAATAATAATAAAAAACAGGAAAGTTTTATATGGCCGAGAAAAAACGCCCCCTCTTCTCCGTAGAATTCTGAAATTGCGTAAAATTTCTGCCAATCATGTACTGAACAGCAACGGACAAAAAGTTGTTAGTGTAAATACTTTTCTTTTAGCGGCCTCAAAAAGTTACCCGTTTGCAAATTTTTAAATACTCAACTTTGACGGGTGTACGGGTACCAACAGCTCTCTCTTGCCGCAAATGACTTTCATATTAAAAATGACCAAATTTACAAGTATAATACGTTTAATACGCAAATATCGTTTACTTTTGGTGCAAATGGTAGATACATTGTTCATCTCCAAAACATTATGCGTTGATTTACAAGTAAGCACTTCTAAAACTGAGAAAAATGAGTTTTACGAAGCCTAGTAGGCCAAGCTAAGTCGCGTTCAAATTTGCCGCTTCATTGCTTATGAATAATTAATGATGTCTATGCATTTTACTCCGCCATTTCACTGGTAACAGAGTTTGAATTTGAAGAAAAAATCATTTGCTGTTTCAAAAACTTATTCACAGAACATAAGCAAATGTTGATGTAAATGTGAAAAAACTAACTTCACCGAGGCGTCTTTCAAACAATCTTACTTCACCTGGTTTTCTTACCTCTTAAAGGGTCATTGTATGCATCCAGTTCAGAGTCACTTGACGTAACTTGACTTTCCTCTGTTGCTGAAATTACCGAGAAGATATTCAACTTTGTTAGTGATTACAACTATGTGCAATTACAACTGGCGTTTTAATACTGGCGTATCTAGTGGATTCCTTAAAAACCTTCAAGTCGAAGTGATCCAAAAAATTGTGCACCAGAATTAAGATATACTTAATTAACAAACAGTAAAAAATTACAATAATGAAGTCTCTCCCTGTTGCTTTTTCTCACCTGTAGCTGGAAACTCATTTTTCACCTCCAGTTCTTCTCCCGTTCTTGGGAGGTTGCTTTCTGCCATAGCTAGAAATAAAATTGAATCGATTGTACTGCGCTACATTGTTAAAAATAAAAAAGAGGAGACTCAGAAGAAAGTAACGAAAAGAAAACGTTGTATACTTAATCATTGAGGAAGAATGAGAATCTCAAAGTTTGCTCCGTCACGCTATTGTTGTTGCGTGACAGCTCCAGCCAAAGTTTTGCGGGTTGTGTCAGGTTTGTTTTTTCAATTGTTTGTTTGTTTGTTTGTTTTCGTGGTCTCATCAAAAATTATACAATAAAATACTCTTTCTCTCATTCCTTCACTTTATCGCGTGTGGGGCTGTGAAAATTAGCGAAACTTATTCAAACCCGAAACACCTACGAGGGTTTGCTTAACCGTCACGAATTCTACCAACACCCCGCGAGCCTATTGCGTAGAGAAACACGTTCATCGAACCGTGCAAGTGAGTATAAAATTTCCTTCAAAGCTTCAAAAATTGGTGGACGAGGGTTTTCTTAAAAAATTCATAAGTTCTAATAAAGAAAAAAAAATGCTTGTAGCCTTTTGAATACCTTGTATAATGTCGTAACTAAACAGTGTATTTTTGTTACATGAATAAAAGCTTTTCCAGCATTTTTGGCTATAACAGAGGTCACAGATTCGTCCAAAATGAAAACAAAACAAAACAAAAATCACAAGGAAACTCGCAGATTCATTTCGTAATTACATGGTGCATGAAAATATTTTGTTATCATGTGATACATCCTTTGATCCTTTGCTGACGAAGCCTTCGTCTCGGTCCTTAAAATGCAGTGAGGGAAATTGGCCGATGTACAGCCTTTTTAAGCTCACGCTTGTTCAGTAATGCACATGCATAGATGAAGTATTAGATAACCACGCGTGGATACGAATTTTACCATCGCGTGTTTATGACATCTTTTACACCTTCAAAGAGGTAATTCAATTCAAGCACTTAAATTCGAATCCAGAGGCGAACATGTATCATCCTTTTTTATTCAAAAGATATTGATTGAAAATTTGAATCACATAGGAGCATCGAATATAGAGATCCGCTACACCGAAACTCAACTCGCCGGAAAACCAATTCAATTTCAAACATTTTAAAACAATTTCTCATTACAAGAACTATTTCCTTTAAAACGAATTGAATTCAGCTTCAGGTAAAAATAAAATTTAAAAAAGCCTTCACGGTTCCAAGGACGACATTGATAACTTCATATGTGAAGATATAAATGATACGCTTACAGCGTGCGGTGGAGATGTCAGGTTTTGGAAACTGAAAAAATTCTGATATTCCACCGTCAGCCAAATTACTATTATTATTACTATATATCGCGAATGTTACGATATCAAAAAAAAGGGTAAGGATTTTGTTTTTTATCATTATTTTTTTTAATTTCAACCTCGAGCTTTGTTTTAAACTTCGTTTGTTTTCGAGAGATAATAGCTGGTTTTGGTATTGACGAAAGCTATAATTATATGCAGCACGTTATCTAGCTCTATCGCATGCTCATCACGCGCTTCTGCTGCATAATCATCACTACAGTCAAACCTTTAACTCCTGTGATCTAATTGTTGATTCTCCCCTCTAGCTGCTACATGTTTCATTTCACAGTAGATACAGAAATTTAGTGTTAGTTCAAAGATAACGAATTCTACCTGATAAAACTTTGAGTATTCTCATTGTCTGTTTGCTGGATAATGTATTGATATTACAGGGATAAATTACAAGTTATATCACTTTTAGGAATTTAAGGCTTTAGGAAATTGCATCATGTGCAGGCTATTTAACCACGAGGCAAATGCGAGAAACCAATGAAATATTTTCCTATCTGACATCAATAAACCGAAGAAATTCGACTGAAATTAAACTTGATTATTGTCAGCCGCAACGAAATTAAGATTACGATCTTTTTTTTATAAATAACAAGAGCTCTACAGCTCTAATCAGTTGCAGAATTAAAATTGTTTTGTACCTGTATCTGAATCCCTCTATTCTCCAGACGATGCCATTTGTTAATTCTACATGCCTGAAAATATCAAGAATAATATTTTGCTTTACAACAATTTCAATGAAAAATGAAGGTAACATATTCACGAGTTTGAAAGATCTAACCTCGTCTAATTCCCAGTTTCGAGATCAAAATTGCCGTTCTTCTTTGAGAAAGTTATTGTGCTTGTTCTTTTGTTTGTTTGTTTTTTAATTCTTTTTATGATTATTACTTGTTTACATGTTTCTCCATGGTGATTAATTAGTTATCTGATTTAAATTCAGCTCTTTTTCTTTTAGTGCAAAACATTCGCAATCCGCAATACCCCTTTTCTCCTCAGAGCAGGACATGTTACACTCTGCCATAACTGAATCGATAAGGATGAATTCACACCATGAGTTATATTGTACCAATGCAATTTCTCTTCAAGTGATCAACTCGATATATCCCTTGTTCAATATGATACACATTTGTTTTTGGTCATCTTCCCATTAGCGTTACAGTTCTCTCAAATGTTCACTTTCCGCTCTCACCGTGACAAATTCATAAAGTTTCTAAGAATAATAACGTTAAGCTTTTTTTCTTATAAATAACTCCCGCCAATTCTGCACTTAGTATTTTTGCAGTCAAAAGCGTAGGTGTCCAGTGAAATCACCAGAGGGAGATACAAAGCTAAAGAAATCACATCAATAATACGTATTCTTTATGTAAATTTTTTCCAATTTTCTCATCTTTCGATTATAATATGCTACATATTTCTTCATTATTTTTCCTCACCTGAAGAGTACTTGCAATAAATTTAACTCCAAGAAAGTTCTTAAAGCGAATACCATAAGTACTCTTCTTAAAGAAATATCCGAGGAGGAGGGATTTTTTTAAATCTATGTACTCCATGCATCTTTGTGTAAAGAAACCCTCTGTGTATCTTACAGGAATTTTATGAATAAATTGTTATTGAACCAAATGTCTTTAAGTTGGAGGAGAAATCCGAGGCCCTAGTTCTCTGTCTCTTTGAGCTCCAGAATTGTCTGCTGAGTTTGCATGCAGTAAGCGAGGCCATAAATAATTGTATAATAGTTCATAAAGACAAGTGACGCACTTGATACTGGAATCAGAAATGCCGAAGCTTCGTAAATCCCTCATGGGAAGATAAATAAGCTATCTCAAGGTCTGGTTTGTTTATCTACATGTCAGCATTGATATTTAACCTGTCGTTTAACCTGATCTGACGGATAAGGTTTTTTTTTCGGTCGTCGGTTAAAAATTTTCCTCTGTCACAAAAGAGCTTGAAATTCCCTTTCTATCATTATGAATTTTAAGACATGAAACTTTCGACATTGATGATCTAAGCAGTATGCAGGATGATCCTTTATGTATCCACTGTATGTCATGGCTCATTAACGAGAAATCTATAGCCATATGTGAGAACTTCAGATCGTAAAATCCGATGGTCTAAGATTCGATCCTGCGTTCGTGGCGAGTAAACAAGCTCGGTATTTCTTTCATTCTTTTGCCTCATGTTTTAAATTATTTATATTTGTATCTTTAGTCAATATCCGTTTATCTCATTCACTGCATTAAGTCGCTATTAACTTATTCTGTCCTCACCTTAACTCCTATGAAAATGTGATTTGCCCCAAAAGTGTTTAACAAAATGGTGCACTTGGTAACACCAGCAGTATTGAAGAAGCTGAATATGAGCTAATCAAATTCGAAACAGAAGATCGTGTATCATTGTTTATTTCGTGATCCATGATTCTATTTTGTAGCTATGCTTTTTCACTATTTATACGCCAAGTTTGGATAGGGCCTCATATAACATTTTCAACTTCTCATTTTCATTAATCCCAAGTATAGCACAATGACATAAACATGCTATTTTATTTATTTATTTATTTTTTTGCTGATGCGATGGTCGTTAAACCATCGCCTGCTTAGGTTGATCGAAGGGCGCTGGACTGCCATACGAGAGGTCTTGAAAGGATTGGGGAGAATGAGAAACACACGTACTGAAAGCTTATGTGAAGGAAATTTTCTTATTAAAGATGCAGGCGATTTGTCGGCCTGGAAACTTTTTTAGGAAAAGTTGACCAATAGAGCTGTAATTTGCGAATACGACTAAAAATACAAGGAGAAATGAGATCTGATTTTCTTCGACTGGATAACGCGGAATTCTCGAAAATTGGGAAATTTCCGTCTGTTGGAATACAAATAGTAATGAATATTTTTGGTTTGCCTAATCGAAAAAATATCTAAAACGTGCTAGAAAATGATAAAAATACAAAGGTATTTGAACTTCCCAATTTCCCCTGGCTACTACCATCGTTGGATGGAAAGTGGAGGGGGTATAGAATTAAAAAAATAAAGAAATAAGTTTCGTGCGCTTCGAGAAAGGCGGTGCGGTGGATTATAGCTTTCATTTAGCTTATTATTTGTCAACAAATTAAACATTCCCATCCATAACTATCCAAACTGGCTAAGAGATGACTTCTTAACACTTAAATTAGAATTAAATGGAATGGCGTTGGTGTTCAAAATATAATAATAATAATAATAAGAAGAAGAAGAAGAAGAAGAAGAAGAAGAAGAAGAAGAATGCAAAAGAAAAAAAAAGTAATGTAAAAAGCACTTTGAAATTACATCACCGAACTTTCACACTTTATGTAATCTGTTGTCAATGCTTTAAAAGTACAAAAAGCAATTCATTATTTATTCAGTCCCAAAGCCTCTTGCATTTTCGTTCAATCAACCATAAAAAGTGTAAGCCTCTCATCATGTGATATAATCTCATACCGTCCCGAATTTACCACAAAACCTTTTTTAGCTTAGCAATTTGCACAATATTTTAAAGATCTCACTAAAGTGCTAAATAAACCTAGCAGTTCTTCTCATCATTGGCAAAGAGGAGTCAGGCAAATTTTAATGATTTACCAACTGAAAGGCGAGCTTTCCCAGGTACCAGTAATGCATATATTGATAATCATTAATAACTGAATTTCATATTAACTTATAAACCAGGCGTAGACAGCAATGTATAGATGAAGTGCTATACTCAGTTTATTTATGTGATCAGTTGCCCACTAGCCTATGGCTCCTATGACATTCTATTGGTACATATATATCACATAAACGTACATGTACTTATACAAAGTCGTACCTGGACGCACACAAGAGAAATTATATTCACTAAGTGTAACCACCACACAATACATGTAGGATGCTCACTGGTGAGAAAATTTAAGGCACATAACAAAAGTGTGAATTAAATTTTCAGTGAAGTCATGCTCTAGTGCTAATTATTGAAAAGGTTTGCAACACCCACCTTTCAGTGCAGGTGATGATGATGGTGTTTGTATTGCTGGAAATGACATGGATCTTTCACTCAGTTGTGATGAATCACTCTCAAACTGATCTTTTCCCTGGCTGAGGGACTCCATTGGTTCAGCTTTCTCCTTCTTCTCCACACTTGGTGATTCATAGCTGGTCTCATTGCTTGGTTTTGTTCTCACAAGCTCAAACAGACCATCTTCATCCATTTTTGATATTCCACATTGCTTCGCCTAACAGATAAAGACCAAAGTAAAAAAAAACCAAAAAAACAACCAAAAAAAAAACCACAACAACAAAGAAACCATAGGTTTCTTGTCAAGTAATGTTTAGCTGCTTAAGGAAGCAAATATGACCTTGCACCAATTTCAAAAAAGGACTCTCAACAAAGAAACATATGATGACCTCCACAGCAAGAAATATAAGTTTATGCTACTGGAAAAAAAAAAACCTCTTTTATAAGCCAATATCAAAATGGAATTAATTTATTTCTACCCTCCAGCTGGTAAAATTTTCATTTCTAGTTAGTTTGCTAATGTGTTTGCTAATGTGTTTTCCCCCTCTTTTGAGCTGTGTATTACAATGTACCTTGGAAAGTTTGCTCTCTCCAGGATCCCATCCCACCACATCATAACTTGTTTTCTTGCTCACTGATTGGGTAACTTTTCCATCATATCTTTGAATCAAATCAGCAGCCTCCTCTCTCTCAATACTTTCCAAGATTTGCATAATAACAAATGTCAGTCCATCCAAACAGTTTTCCGCTCCCTAAAAATTAAATTATCAAGTGCATGCATGATTCAAGATATGCAGACAAATAATTAATTCTTCCCTTGAAGGCCTCTTAATACTGTCCAAACTGAAAAGTTATAAATGGCAAAAAAGTTAAAGACTCAGTAGATAATTGTCTTGCACCTCTTAAAAATTTGAAAGGATGGAAAACAAACCATTAAGAGCTTTGAGAGATAATTGAATTACCAGAAGAAATTATCATGTAACTTCTTTCTAGAATATCCATACATTATCCTGCAAACAGGTACAGAGAACACTAAAACTTATCAGGTACATATATTGTTATGATGATCTAACAACAAATTCTTGTTATTTATTTACAGGAAAATGCGTAGCAGCTAGAGGGGAGAATTAATAATCAGATCTTGGACTTTGAAACCTACCTGAGGGATTTCCTTTGAACCAAGTGCCCTAGGACCATCTCTTGCCATAAAACTACAGTAGCCAGACTTTTTCTTTTCCAATGAGGGTGGAATTTCAACCACATCCTCTGACTTTGACAGGAGTTGTCTTTGGTACTTCCTGAAAAGTCCATAGATAAAATTTGAAGTGAACAAAAGTTACATGTATATCAAACATTCTAACAGCTGGGAGTTGTCCTGACAAGGCAAGAGTTGTCCAAATAGGAATGTTGATGGTGAAAGACACTGCTGCTTTGAAAAACGGAGACAAAGTGGCAGCATTGTCCTGAATTGTCAAAGTTAAAATCACCTAGAAAATTACCTGAAAGTTTTGTCACTATTGTTACTGTTTTTAATATTAATTCTAGGTAAAGTAATGGTAGTATTTTGAGTAGTGTTAGTATTGTAAGTAATGTGTATCTGAGTAAAAACCATCTACTCTCATAGTAGGACAGGTTAATATACACAAAACATGCTCATGTATCACCAGTTAAAAAGTTTGAGTAAGCTTTTGGATCTTATACAGAGCCAAATTTAGTCATAAAATGTTACTGTTTCATCTACAAGTACCTTATTCAAGTGCTTAATAACACTTACCATACACATGAAATCATATCAGATCCAATCCATTCTAGTATCAGGGTAGCAGGTTTAAACATTAATAGTAATAATTAATTTTACAACAATAAAGGATGGTAATAAAAAGGCTTACAAACCTTTTTCTTCTCTGGGGAAGGCTTTTTAACCTCAGACTTTGATTCTGAGAAGTCTTCCTTTCTTTTCTTTGATGGTTGCTCTGTTGTGTGATGGTTGACATTCCCATTTTCTCTTCCTTCTTTTTCTCTCCCATTTTTATACTCTTCTTTTCTATTCACTTTGGAGTCTGCATTTTCTTCAGACTCATCAGATCTCTGTGGGAAATAAAAACAAAAAAATTATTAATGGTTCTACAAAGAATTAAGGAATGATCATTAACCCTTTAACTCCCATGACAGGATGTGAAATTAATTTTTTTTCTGATAGCCACTTGGTTCCTGAATTCTTCAGAGTGGTAGCTAATTAAAAAAAGGTTGGTTGCCATTTTGAAAGACAAACAAAACTTTTTTCTACGCTGTCAGCGTTCTAGATAGACCCTCCAAAATTAAGTTAGGGAAAAGATCTTTAACCTGCTACAAAGTGGACACTAGGATGGATGATATACAACCTTCAAGCTCACCTAAATCCAAGATGGCGTCTAGTTATCGATCGAGATGCATGTGCTGCGCTTTGGAAACAAACTTAACAAGGAAGTTTGCTGCAGATTTATCTTTGCAAATCTTTTTAATTCACTATATCTCTTGGTAAAGTTATGATGAAACATTCTAGTTGCCAATTTGGCAACTAATTTTCAGGATTTGGTCGCCAAAGTGAAAAATTTAGTTGCATTGGCGACTGTATTAGGTGCAATTTCACACCCTGCATAATTTTACCCTACAATAATTATCAATACAATATCAACCAGATAAGTGATAAGAATAAAGACAAATATCAATTTGGGGATAATTAGTTGATCCAATACTAAATTCTCTGAACTAACATTATAAGAATTGTATGATTGACAATAAGGAGAATTACAAATTTGATCTGGGAGTTTAAGGGTTAAGTGGGCTGAGCTCTGGATCAAACTTAAAATTTGCTCTCTCAAGAGTGATCAATTTTCTAATTTCTTGCAACAATACCAATTCACATTCAACTGGGTAGAAATCTAATGAGAAGAAAGAAAATCATCAGACAAGAGGATATCATTTGATTGAACACTATATTCTCAAAGATATTTTCATAACACTTACATGACAGACAGTAAATAGAATTGATTTTATAACTTAGAGGCAAAAGGACTTGTTCCTTTAACGGAGCCCATGGTGTTGTTTCTGCCAAAACTACTCCTCAATTGGTCACTACCAGTACCCATTAATTTTGTGACATATGGTATGTGTTCACTGTAGAACATCCTGATATAACTATAACAGATTGGCAGAGGGTTTACAAGGGATGTGTGATTAAGCCCAAAATTGAACATGTGATGCATGAATTTTATAGAAAGGCAAGGTATGGTGAGGTTTAAAGTTTTCCCTGTTTGATGCATGATGCATGAAGTACTGTTTAATATATATAATATTCTTATTCTATTCAAGGCAGAGTGGTCTAATGGTAAGTGTGCTGAACCCTGAATGAAGCAGATGGCTTTGTTTTCTTTGGCAAGCTAATACATTAGCAATGTTAAAGGTGATGCCATGTTAAAAATGCTGACATCATCTTACTGTGCCTCAAGCTCACCTCACACTAAATATTTCCCTATCCAGCCCTTCCACTCCATCAATAAGCAGAGTCTGCTAAAACCCTTGTGTAGAACTCAGTCGTGTAAAAATATTTGGCCAACCTTATTATTATTATTATAATAATAATAATAAAAGATTTATACCGCGCCAGTATCCTACTGTTCAAAGGCGCCTACAAGAAAAAACTTAAACATTAACACTTAAGACAGCTAATATTAATTATAAAAGGCTTTTCTAAAGAGTAAAGTTTTTAATCTACGTTTAAAAACAGACACAGACTGAGCATTTCTAATTTCACTTGGCAAAGCATTCCATAATGATGGTGCTGCTACAGAAAAGGATCTTGCGCCATATGTTTTCAAGTTATAGGATGGAGAAACCAGAAGGTGCTTGAATGATGAGCGTAGTTGACGCGATGGGGTGTAAGATGTAAGCAGATCACAAATGTACGACGGTGCCAGGTTGTTAAGTGCCTTGTAGGTTATAAGTAAAATCTTAAAAATAATACGTTGGTTAACGGGAAGCCAATGAAGATTGAAAAGAACAGGCATAATGTGATCATGTTTTTTTGTAAGTGTGACGAGGCTCGCCGCGGCATTCTGGACGTGTTGTAGCCTTTTTATAGCGTAGGCTGGTAGGCCATACAAAAGGGAATTACAGTAATCCAGCTTCGAAGATACAAACATATGAACCAGCAATTCAGTAGTGGTCGCTGAAAGATATTTCCTGATATAGCTAATATTTCGCAAATGATAAAAAGAAGATTTACAAATGTCAGTAATATGATCCTTAAAGCAAAAATGGCTGTCGAACATAGTGCCGATATTCCTCGCCTTTTGCACGGAAGGAATAGTCTCACCAGCAACTGAAATTTCGTGAAGGAGTGGTCTTGGAAGATGTTTAGCGGAAATTACCAATAATTCAGTTTTGTCTTTATTTAATTTAAGACGATTAACCATCATCCAATGACTGATTTCATCCACACAGCTCTCGATGCTAGAAACCGCTAGATCCCTATCACCCAGTACGGTTGGTTGGAAAGACAAGTAAAGCTGTGAGTCGTCAGCATAAAAATGATAGCTCAGGTTAAATTTCTTTACGATATCTGAAAGCGGTGAAGTATAAAGCAAATACAAAATGGGTCCCAAGACAGATCCTTGTGGCACTCCACATTTAAGGTCATGTTTCGTCGAAGTACCACCATCAACGGAGACATATTGCGTGCGATTCGATAAATAAGATTGCAACCATAATAGAGGCTTCCCAGCTATCCCAAACCGTACACGTAAACGAGAGAGGAGGATGGTATGATCGACTGTATCGAAGGCAGCGGAAAGGTCTAACAACAGCAAAATTACGATTCGACGATTATCAATGGCAGAAAGAATATCATTGTGAACACGAATAAGTGCAGTTTCAGCACTGTGATATTTCTTGTTCTTGATATTTCTATTATTCCTCATGAAAAGTATTCAAAATGTTTTCACATTCACATGAAATTCAAGACAATCACATTTTGAAGATAAATAAAACCAAAGAAAAAATTAAACCAAAGTAATATTTTCACTCTTTCTAACCTGTAAATAAGACTGTTAATCTATAAAAATTAAAAATGTATTTATACAAAAAAGACATAATCACAATTTCCATGAAAATAAAGTCTCCACATCACCTTTTACGTAAAAAGTATTGGGTACCCTCAATAAGTAGACATAATTTCCTTACCTGAGTCCAAGCTGATTGCTCTTCTACTTTTCTTAGCTTTTGAAATCTCCTCCTCCTTTACTGATGTGGCTTTTCTGAAACAGAGATGCATGAAAGAGAAAAAGGTTCTGAATACAACCTGACATCCGTATCCATGCATATTCTCCATACTGTTCTCTATGCACTTTCTAAGGTGCTGACAAGGAGAATTTGTTTAATAATCAAGAGCTTCTATAGTTGGTGATCATTTCCTTGACTCTTGATTCAGGGGTGATATTAGGGTCATAGGTTAATTACAACTGTATAAAATGGAACAAAATTGAAAAAACATATCACAAACCTGATTTTTGGAGGAAGAGAATCTTCATCAGAATCTAACAGAGATCTAAGATGAATTTAGAAATAGGGTTAGGACATCATTGTGATGTTGTACATGTCATTATGTGAATCTTTTAACAGCATGTTTTTGTAATAATGCTAATTGCATTTGGAATTGACAAGAACACTGTAAAGCACAGTACACCATTAAAACAAATACAGAAGTGTAATAGTTTGTGTAGAGTCTCAACATCTGTTCCTTTTGAAACTGTTGGTGTTCACCCTAAAACATTACCTGAGTCAATATTGTTTTTTTCCTTTCTTCTTCCTCTTCTGATTTTCTTTTGGTTTTTGTTTTCAGGCAATGTCATCATCTTCACTGCTTGATAAACTCTGCCCAGCAAATTAACTATTACATATTTTTATTCACACAAATATGAGATAAATTTGCTCCTTTGGACCTAACAATAACCACTGGATAAGATCAAGGGGGGTGTTGTTCCTTGGAGCACAACTTTCTTAAAAGATATTTTCTTCCAGCTCAGAAAATCAAGAGAAGACACCAGGTGTAGAAACCAATCCCCCTCCTTGTCCCAGTCCTGATGCAGCTATTGATATAAGTTTGACTTTTGTGCAGATCATGCATATAAAAAAGATGTGAGCTCAAGTTAAAAGGCAATTGCAAGTACATTGTTATACCAGCCATATTCCAAAATTGTCAGGTAAATTGCTCTTTTGTCAAGTGACCCATGTTTCCTATATCATTAGTATTGTTTATGTCATACATATTTCATGTTGCTTGTATATCCTATGTTATTTCCAATCTTGTAATTAGTCATTCTGTTCATGATGTATTATGTTTGTAATACTTTACTTAGAAACCACTGGCAATGGCATGTAAATAGAAGAGTTCAGTCCAGTCATCAGGAAATTAAACTCATCTAAAATTTATTGCTGGCATGTTGGTTACACCCGAGGCTTGTGAAAAAATTAGTCTGAGTATGGTGAAGTCTCAAGGTTTCTTTATCAATCACCTTTCAAGTTAATCAACAATTTCATTTTCCCTTCAGTCTGAGTAAATGAAAGATTAATTAGTACTTGTCAAAATTGTGAAATAGGCATTAGAGTTGCATATTGCAACTGCTCTGCAGAATTAATAAGCTGCAGTTTGAACAAATTTGAAGGGAATGCTTAAGTCCTGGATATTTCAAACTTAAGTGAAATTTAGGTAGCAGTGTATCACATCATGCTGTTTAACCCTTAAACTCTTGTGTGATTAACATGTAACTTCTCCCTAAAATATCTCTACAATATCCAACAAAAGGGTAATGAAAAAAGTTATCTTGATCTAAAAACAAATTCCTATAACAAATGTACAAGGAAACGTCTAGAAACTAGAGGGGAAAATTAACAAACAGATCTTGGGAGTTAAAGAATGAAGACAAAATTGCTTCATTTTATGACCTTGTTAAAGATAAAAAAAGGCAAAACATTGTAACTTATCAGCCTCACTCAGCTGCCCTGACATACTCAGACAAACTATTGAAAAATTATACCTACAAAGTTAGTTAACACACAGTACCATACCATTTCTCACATTCCAGTGAAGAAAGATACCTTGGGTTAGATATATGTAGTGGAATGAAACTCTTGGTTAAAACATGTTGTAAAATTACTTACCATGTGCTAAATAAAAGATTCATGACAAAGGAAATTTTAGCATGTATGGCAATAAATACAAATTTTGGCGAAATTCTGCCGCTGAGAACTAAAATGACTAACAAACCATTTTAGTTTAGTGATGTGGTCACATCACTCTCCGACATTTCGCGCCATCTTTGAAAATCTCATGTACTTCAGTCAGCGGTCACCAACCTAGCTAGCTTCCAGACTCCTGCTATTTCTCTTCCGCTAGTTTTCCGAGAAAAACAATAGGTCATAAGATAACCATAATCTAATTGGAAATCGCGGAACCAAATGAAAGGAGCTGTCAGACGAGGGCGGTTGAACCACGTTCAGTTTCCCAAATAGATTGCTTCGAAAATGGCAATTAGATCCGCGGAGAACACTTCTCAGGGGTACGTACTCTGTTTTGGATGTCGATATTTCCATGAATGAATGCGCCCTAGATTCGCGCCCGCTCGTTCTGCGATTTGCTTCTTTCGTTGCGCTGTCGTAGCTATATCGTTTGTTTATTGAAAAATATTCAAATTCGCAGCATGAAATTTGCAAAACGTTATTTGAAGTTTTATACGCTGTTATTCAAAAACAATTTCATGTAATATAAAATGACCCCATAGAAAAAAAAAACTATGTTTAAAAGTTCTACCGATTGGACTTAAATGGAATAAATGTGGTCGTGCACATTTTCCCAAACTTAAAATTACACTGGTTTCTAAATTGTATTTACATGAGTGCTAGCAGATGATGGAATTTATGCGCAGAATTGGATACAACTGAGTCAAAGAGTTAACGTTTGTAACACTGTTCTTTGCGCCTGTCTTTCAAAGATCTGATGTCATGCAATGCATTTAGTCTCTATTGTAAAACTAGAATCGACCATATCTCCGGAATTTTTTAGGGCTTACTGCGATTTGATAAACGAAACGAAACGAACTGAAAACATGAACATCTCCATGGTGTTCTTTGCTGAATCTTCACTATATTCTCGAAGAGATCAAATCCTCTACTGTATGTAAGGGAAGGACTGCGCCATTTAGCCATAAAATGCAAATCTATAATTTCAAAATAAGATTCCGTGAGGCTGCAGCAGTGCAATTACAAGCTGTTAAGCATCGATGTTCGTAGTCGATGAATAATTCAATTGCGTGACATCAGATACCTTCCCTGAAAAATATCGCGTGACTAAAGTTGTTTTGCAGCATGTTTCTGATTGGAAAATAATAACGATAAAAAAGTTTTCGTTGAGGTTTCAGTAATAATAATGTTTGTTGTGTTATCACTTGTGTGATTTGTGGACTGAACTGACCGATTCATCCTTGAGGGGGGCATTGGGATTTTCGATATTTTTTTAAGATCTGTTTTTGTGCCAAAGAATTTTGGTTTTTCGGATTGGGCGTTTATTACGGATTGCGGATTTTCCGTTCTTTAGCATATGGTTTTCGGTCTTATGGGCTTCGGATTTGGTTTTCAATGTGGTTTTCGGATTTTCCTATTTGGATTCCGGTTTCTCTCACACACGGGTGACAACGGTATCTGAAAATCTCAACTCCTTGTAGGATTGTTAACAGTTAATTTATAAGAACTTGATCTAAACTTCTCATTTGAGTGTATGGAATGAGTGCACAAAACGGGTTTTAACTTGTAAAATTCCTTCTCAATACTGTTTATTAATACATCCTTTGATCTGTTTCAGATCAAGTTGAACGTACAAGGAGAGGAAATTGTTATTCCCCTTGGTCCTGTTGAGGAAGAAATACACCATCCTCTGCTAGAGACAACGCAGCATGTTCTTGTGGCCAAGTCATTCAGTTTATTATAGAAACTCAAATGGAAAGTGGCAAATTTTAATGTTAAAAAATTCTACGATATACGACGGAATAAAGAGTAAACATTTGATGCAACTCTCTAAGAACCAATAAACTAAAAGAAATAATTTTACATAGAGTTTGCACTTATTTTAATGTTGTTTAGTTATACATGTTGATACAAATCATTCTCCGTCTGCGGAACTGAATTTTTTCCTAAACCCTATCTTCATATCTATTTTTAACTCTACAATACCTGAAACAAGATGTAGAAATATATTAACCTTGTTTCTTCTTCATATTTTAGCGGTTAAATATTCAGTTTCGTAACCTACTGTGAACATATCACAAGCATTTTAAGTACTAGATATTTTTTAGGATAGGGGACCACCATTTGTCACCCTCTGTAAAAAGTCGGCAGTTACTCTCAAGATGCTGAGAAGTCACCTGTTTAAAAAGTGATGAATTGAAGTTGTGAGGAGACGTTAAAAGTTATTTATCACTAAAAGTTTTTGACTTGAAATGTATATCTGCCAACCGACACTGACATCATAATACTTTAACGTACATTTACAATTTTATTAGACGCCATCTTGGGGTGTGTCTACGGATCATTCGTTGGTAACGATGCAAAGCCATCCTTGACCTGTCTCAAGGACAGCCATAAAATGCAACATGCTTAACCTGTTTGAAAGTAAAAAGTTAAAGACAGTAAGCGTGATCGAAATAGGCGTGAGCCCTTCAATTATGGTAGAAAAAAATAATAAAACCTATGTTCGCTGACAAAATTGAACCAAAACCACGTCAGTCCATTCTTTTGAAAAGTTTGAAAAAAATACGACCGACCTCCCTGACAATTTATTAAACCGAGACCATTTCGATGCACGCACGGATTACTGGGTTGAAGTCTTTGCTGATTGATTAATATGAACGACCCAAACACCGTCTAAATGGCGAAGTAAATACAAAAAAAGCATACCTGAAAGTGTTACATGCAGGCTCTCGCCAGCTTTGAGCAAAATTCCACAAGAATCGAAGGTAATTGAAAGCTGTTCAGCGTCCTAATAAAACAAAATTCACAATAAACTTAATTCAACAGTCCTGTAACGTTTTACGGTCTTGAGAGTTTGTTTTCGCAAAAGAAAGAAGATGTTGTACCTGAGCCACTGTTGTGACCAGCAACTCGTCACTTCCTCCTGCCATGCGCGCTAAGGCAGAGGAGGCACGTGACTTGAGAGTGAACTGTGATAGGCTTAGTTCTCCATGATGAACACAAAGCTGGAAAACAAACAAAAGAGTCTGAAATATTTCAAAGTGGATACTGAAGGCTAAAATTCACTGGCATTGCAAACACAAACAATGTTTGTATTCTGTAGCGTGAATACGAAACACAACATCGGCGCAAAACTGTGTCTATTTCAACCCTTCTTTATGTTCAGTAAGGCAAAGAAAAAAACTTCACACAAAAAAATCATAATATTTTACCTCAGCAGTTCCATCTCTCATTTCTTCATCTCCCTTCTGTTTAAACTGACCCCAAGCAGTGGCAGTGATAAAAAAGCCACAGAAGTCTGACGGATTGATTCGCGGTGCAAACCCAAGGCTGATCAAAGGATTCCCAACCTCGGACAACTTCCAAGTCTGGTAAAAAAATAATTCAAGAAAAAGTGAAGACTTACGTTCAATCGTGATTTTTTAACCCTTCACACCCTAATCTCAGTATGCATATTCTCCATACAGTTCTCTAGAGCTTCCACAGGCATTGACAAGGAGAATTTGTTTAACAATCAAAAAAGCTTCCTTAGTTGGTGATCATTTCCTTTACCCACGTGACGTTACTGTTTGATTCAAGGCTGATATTTTATGGAGAAATTAGACGCTAGTCGCTCTTAGGAGTTAAAGGTTTAGGAAGCCACATTTTCAATCCATATCATCTTATTCTTATCAATTTGAGGTCGCAATAATCTTGGTTAGCTCAGCTCAGCTCAGGTGACGTCGAGTCGTGACGTCCTCACTGTTTTTTATGGAAAATCCCAGAGCAGTTAGAAGTGTCCCCCTAGAGTACTTAAAAACTTATTTTAACAATCATCAAGCAGGAACAAAGCGATTTAGAATTCAAATCGCATGTGCTTCCCTTGTAAATGTCCCCGCTGCAAAGTTAAAACATTAATTAAACCTCGCCCATTGTCTCATAATCAATGCTTCACCGCTGAAAGGGGCACACAAAACCCCCACGCACACGAGCAAAAACTTACAACACAAGCATTGGATGTCAATATCATAATTAAGAGCTATTGATAGCGAAGTGCTCCTTACCTGACCTGAGGCGAACTCAAAAAAGGTAAAAGCTGCCATCGGGCGAATATAATGGTCGCCACACTCAATCTCGTTCCAAGGACTGCGCCGAGTGCCGTCATACTTTTCACGGGTGTCGGTCAAAACTAAACCAGAAAAGGTGTAATGTGAACAAAAGAATCTTAAACAAAAGGAGATGGGAGGAATGTAAAGTCAAACATCCTGAAATAAGACACCCTATGGATGAACAAACGCACAAACAAAAAAGACAAAGAGACTGTCAATACCATCGAGTGCTGTGCTGACCATTAACTGATTCAAACATAACTGGGCAAATTCGTACTCCAAACTAGTCCAGGCTCCCTTATAAAGCGAAAAAAGAAATATAAAATACATTAGATTTCATCTGAGGACAAACACTTCATCGTTTCAATCTTTGTGTATTCTGAGTTACGAATGCGTTAGCGTGACACTGGTAGAAACGATTGTGTCTCTAATGTGTAGAGTGCTGAGGATGGTAGCCTGCATAGCTAAATCGACCCTCTCCGAGTGAGCATGTTCCCAACGCCAACAGCTCATTGCGTGACAAGAAGATAAAGCAGTTATATAAACGAAGGTTTCTACACCCATTGAAACTGACAAGCATGAATTGGACATAATTTGGATGAAATGCACCACTAACCTCACTACTGTACCGGAAGGGATTTTCTGGAGGCGATCCAGGCCATCGACAAATGTAGAGTCCGGCGTCTCGCTGATCGAAGAACTTCCGGGGATTCTGGTCCGCTGATAAACATAATTAAAATATAACGTTACTTAATCTGACATAAAACGAAATATTTTCATTTGTCATTTTTACTCTTGACTTTATATTGACGTGAAACCACGTCAAAACGTCTTCAAAATATTTTACAGTTTTTAGGGTTCTATACCTTAAGCCAGGATAAATTTTATTCTAATATTTGAATTAACCGTTAATTATTATGACCATTACTACCATTATTATTAGTATTAATATTGATTTTATCAGTACCACTGTTCACCTGACCAGAAGGATTCATCCTTTGTAGCCGTTCTTAAAAATGTCACGCAACACTCCTCTCAGCTCTTCTTTGAGCAGCGTTGCGTGACATTTCAAAGAACGGTTATTAGGAAGACTGCCCATGAATTTTAGCAGACGCACGTCGCGCTAGAAACAAAAGAAAACCTGAACGAGAGAACCATCTTCATCGACTACAATTTGCCATACCTGGATTAAACGAATCCACGTGATTGCTAGAGTAAATGTACTCCAAAGTAGACATGACATGCTCCTTTGGTAAAATATCACCGAGCTGCAAAACATTTGCCCACCACTGGCCAAGCAAACAATCAATGAACGTTCCTAAAAATAAAAATATTTAAGCGTCAAGTCCATTACTTCTGTAATATTGTCACGCAATACTTTCTCACTTCATCCGCCTCACTCAAAAATTACACCGGAAAGTCACCCTACCGTCAGCAATTTCCGCTTTCGGATTCTTTGGATCCAGCACCTACAAAACAATACCGGATACAATTAACACATGAGGTTTAGTGGAAAGGGAGGAATGGCTGTGATCAATAAATTTTGTACGGGCTCACTTCGTCCGAAGGTGTAAATCTTTCCCCTTTTCACAAAGGAGTCCTTTAAGAACCCCAGATGTGAAACGATGCATTCACTCTCTAATATGACAGATTCAGTAAAGGATGATTATGGGTAACCTCTAAAAAATAATCATATGGAGTCGTCGCTTGATCCTTTCAAACAACTTAAGAAAGTTTTCCCCTTCTCACATTCGCACTTATGGAAGCCGCGCCCATTCATTCACCACGCGCATGAAAAAAAGGATCTCCTTTTGGCTGGAGTATCCCTGTATAATCCACATCAGAGGGACTCAGATCAAAGACTCAGTCATTGAAGCGTTAATAGACGGGGTTCGTTCTTCCACACCGTAGCAAAAACGGTGACGCGTACGTCGCCAACAAAAAAGTACAGTTCACGTATGACTTAGTCACAATGAGTTACAGAAAAAAGAAACAAAAGCAGATCAAAGAATTCTGATCAAATTCACTACCATTCTTTAGAACAAATCCAAATGGATTGCTACCTCGTCCTGATAAAGAGGCTCTGAGCTACGTCATTCTTGGGTCACATTAAGGGCATTGCACACTCAAAAGTTCTTCTGGAGAAAGGGCTCACCTGTGTGTACCATTTTCCGTTTGTGTAACAGGCCTTATCGAGGTTGGCACTTCCCAGTTTGAACCTGGCGGAGTACTCATCAGCAAGGTCCTAGAAGGCCCAAAATAAATAGAAACGTTTAAAGCTGTCCCAGTAAGCGATCTTATCTTAAACGATTGTCGACACCTTTCAAATGCATTAGCTTGCGAACAAGCCATTATCCTGATTAGCGCTTCGACGTGTGTGTCTTTGCCCGCGGGAAATTAAGAGGCCTTGAGAAACGAGAGCCGGCGAAAGTTCCACAGGGGAGGGGGCGATAAACTTCTCGCTTCCCGACTCTTCTCATACTTTCTCGCGGGAAGAGAAACGCGTCCGGCAGCGCTAATAATAAAGACCTGCTCGCAAGCTGAGAAGCAAAGCCAGGACTGGCAATAAGTGGGACAAGATTCACTAAACTAGAATCTCCTGGCGATATGGAAGCAAATCAGGTTATTTAACTGTCAAAAATGATTAAATTTTCATGACAATCAGGAGTAACATGTACTCGAGGATTCCTAATGCCTCCCTTTCCAACCTTGCGTTGTTTTTACACTTTTACCCCCAAGATCTGATAGTTAATTCTCCCTTCTAGCTGCGACACATTTCCTTGTAAAATAGTTAAGAGAATTTGGTGTTAAATCAAGATAACAACTTCTTCGTGTTGAGTTTTAGTATTTTCATTACCTGTTTGCTGGATAATATATACATAAGATAGGGAGAAACTACATGTTAATCACCTCTGGGAGTCACAGGGTTAAAACTGGAAATATGGCAAAATGGGAAAAAAAAAACTTTACTGTACCGATTCTTTTTGAAGTTTAGCCATCTCCTCCGCAGCTCTATAATACAATAAGAGGAATAATGGATCAAGGAGGTAAGTTTCTAGAGAAACTGTGATGCTGTGTCGGTGGGAAAGTATGACAGGGTAATTTAGTATTATCATTTGAGTTGATAACATAAATTGGTCACCGTAAAGAGTTTAAAAGCTGACGTTTCGAGCGTCAGCCCTTCGTCAGAGCGATTGACGAAGGGCTACTGCTCGAAACGTCAGCTTTTAAACTCTTTACGGTGAATAATGGATCAGTTTGGCACAAATCTACCGAGCAGCTTTGTAGAGTATCAGTTCATTCAACAGGATGCGATAGAGACACACCTATATATAGCTAAGTCCTTTCTCTCGAAACAGAAAAATAGCTCAACATTTCATTTCGAGACAAAAATAAATAAAAGACTACAAATTCTCCTGTATTGCTGAATTATTCCGACTGAAAACTCTCGAAAATCTCATTTTAACTTAACTAATTATAATAATGCAAACGTTTCTCACTAATGAGTGTGCAAAGTAGTCTGTGATTGCCATGGGTTTGCTTTACTTTGCACTGTGACTGGTCTAGAAATCTTGCGTGTTCCTCTCAGCCAATCACTTTGCATTGGCTTTGGCACCAACTTTCTAACCAATCAGAAGCAAAAAAATGCAACCAACAGCGACTTAGACACCCGCGTTTTCCCGCTCTATAGGACGGGTACGCGTGTTTATACTGAGTTTTCATTGGCTCCTTCACAACCTCTTCTTTATTCTGATTGGCTGTAGCGATGATTTTGGTTCCGGTTAATCGACAGTCAGTTGTGAAAATTCTTAACTATTAAAGGTTTTCACACCATCACTAAAACAATGGTGGCTACTTACCGTAATGCACAATGATAAAGACAGCACGTGAAAGTATTCACACCATAGAAACAGGTGTCATAAGTATTGGGCTGGGGGGCACGAATCAAACCTATGAAGACGAAACATCGACAGAGTGAATATTGTCAATAAAGAAACGCATGACAACTTTTAACGAAAAATTCTCAATAAGCCAAAAAATACAACTACTGACAGCGTTTAAAAAAATCTTCTTTACCATCTCCCGAATCTAGTTCCCCCATCCATCGTGCCATGATTTTCTTAACCGCTGGCCATAAACCATCGAACCACTTTTGAGGAGCCCCCTGAAGAACCTGAAATGATGGACAAGAAGGGCCACGGTTGCATTTCTCTCATGAGCCTTTAGTGATCTGATTTTAGAGATTTGCCAAATATATATTGGCTTATAAATAGACTGAAAGTCGAAACAATAAAATTAAAGATATCCCAGTGACCAATCAGAACAAAGGTTTCCATTGTCATTAACCAATAAGAACTCAAAGTGAATTCAAGCAAACTGCTTGAAGCGCAGGAAACCCGGGTGGCCAGGTCGCGATTTATTTGGTACTTGCATCTGATTCGTTGATAAGACAGCGCGAGTTTTTCTAAACCAATCACAGAGCAAAGTTTATTGAACATAAGCAACCCCGGATGATTTTCGACACTCAGTTTATCTTACTTTAGAGAAGATCATTTCGTATGTGGTATATTTACCTCCCTGTAGGTTTTCAACACGGTTCCAATTTCGCCATCAACGCATATCGTAGTAGAGGCGGGGTCAACGTCAGTGTAGTTTGGCCAAAAGCTCCACCAGCGTCGAAGCTCAAGAGGCACAGTAGTGCGGCTAAAAAAATTATAAAAACAACACTTAAACATATTTAAATTACCAGTGAGCGTTTATGTCCTACCTAACCTCTGAACCGCACTTAAATCGATTCACGCTTCCAAAAGAGTAGGACGGTATTTCTCGCAATTACAACCGCAAAAATTTATTTCTACGTTTTTGTTACGCAAATTTTCTTATTGGCCAGCTCTCCTGCGTCTGGCAATGGGCTAAGTGTTTACCCGCGTCTCGGCGGCAAATTCTCCCGTGCTTAGTACCAACTCCAGGTTTTCCTGCACTTCAACCAGTTGCAAGTCAAGTTACTGCGTCTGACACTCACTGCACCTTCTCAACTCGATTAATTGATGGTTCGCTACAACGATGATGTGCTTTATTTTAGGCAAACCGTACCTTGGTATGATGGCATTGGGAGCTATCTGCTCTTTCAGATCAACGACTCTCATGGTTCTCTCCAAATCAGGGAAACACCTGATAAGAAATAAAAAATTCACGAGCACTGTTAGATACATTTGATTAAAGTTAATATCATTGGCACCTGGAATACACTAATCTTTTTGAGGCGTCATCTCTACTAAACATTGTGAAGACAAATAACAGGTTACCATACTCTCAGTGAAGGTGAAAAGGTTGCGCAAAGAGAAGAGTGCCATGAATCCCAACCGCGAAACTTCAAAAGGGATCGTTTCAAAAATGACCCCGACGTTCGCAAAAAGTAGACAGTTCTAGTGCCGCAGAACTTACTTTGCAATGGCCATTTCGTAGTTGAACACGTGTGTGCAATTGAGCGGGCAACAACCTGACGACATGAAATATGAAATCAGTATCAAAGTTCCTCAAATAAGCACTAACGCAGTTCAAATGACACCTTAGTAATAGCGTCTTGGCAGAGACAATTTTCAAAGGAAAATGAAAAATTTCCAACTTTCTCCTTCACAGGTGGCCAACAACTTAGAAAGTGCGTTTATTTTTGTGTTGGAGAAGTGCAGTAAAATTCAATTAAGGAGTAAACATTCAACTAAGCGTCGATGGTATTCGGGAATTACTTTGGTTTCGCTTTACTTCGCTCCGTGATTGGTCCAGAAAACTCGCGCCACCTTATAAACCAATCAGGGACACACTAAATCAAGTCGCAATTTTGTCACGCTCGGTAATCTGTGCTTCGGAAAGGTTGCTTGTACTCGTTCGTCCCTTATGATTTTCCCCTCAGCTTTGATTTGCCATTCTGATTATTTTGAAGTTGGTTTAACAACACTCGATTACAAAGCGCTTCAACAAGAACTCACCTCCAACCTTACTACATCCTGAAAATGGAAGGGAAAAAAAAGACAACCAGAAACGTTAATATATAGATTTAATTCAATATATACATTCAATCAAGTTCAAAGATTCAATCTCGTAATGTACTGGCAAACGCTTCGACCTCTCCAAAATTTAAATTCAATTTTGCATACTGTAAAACGGAGCTGAGAGTTTCCAGAATCACTTCCCCTAACAAGAACCTAGCTTGCGAGAAGGCCATAGTTATTTTAGCGTTGCAGGACGCGCGTTCCTCCATCCACAGGAATATATGAGACGAGTCGAGGAGAGGTTTACCGGGGGTCTGTTACTATTATCAGTGCCAGACCCCTTACAGACCTGTCGCCGGCTCGCGTTGCTCAAGGCCTGTCACTTTTCCACGGGTGGAGGGAGGCTCGCGCCCAAGCTCTCATAATGAGGCCTGCTCGCGGGCCAACAAGAACCATTATTGCATTTTCACCCTGGCCACGTGATAACATGATAGTTTTAAAACTGTATTCACCCCTTAAAACTTCAAGTGTCTGATAAGTCTTTCTTCTTCATTATTGCTTTACATCTCATAAAAAATTAGCTTAGCGAGTTTGGTTTTACACCCAAACTGAAACGTTTAATCCCATATTCTCATCACCAGAATGCAGGATAATGTATCAGCGTTGTATGAGGAAGTTAGATGTTAATCATTTGTACCTTCAAATCCATAAAGATTGCCATCAGCCAACCACATACACGTGGGGGATCTAACAGAAAAATATTTCATCTCTCGTTAAATCTGATGAACGTAATGACTCGATTCAGCGCCCGGGCGCTTATTCACTTTTGGTACATCAAGGGAGGGCACTTGTACGGAAAAGGGTGCTTATTTCAGTCTTTCTTGAGAAACAGCCGAATGTGCGAAACAAAGTTTTCATGTTTATTGGAAAAGAATAAAGACAGGGAGAAGGACTTGTTGTCCCTGGATCCTTCCTGGTTACAACGACCGACCAAGCAATCGTCAGTTGAGACTAAGACGAAGATCACTGTTTTTGTAATGAGGGTTTAGGGGCGGTTGTTGGAAAAGTGGCGCTTATTGGTACGTGCGTGCTTACTCAATAGGGGCGCTTGTTGGTATGTGTGTGCTTACTCAATAGGGGCGCTTATTGGTATGTGCGTGCTTACTCAATCGGGGCGCCTATTGGTTTGTGCATGCTTACTCAATAAGGGCGCTTATTCGCAAAAACCAAATTCAAGGAGGCGCTTCTTAGAGATGAAGCGCTTATTGGAAGGAGGGAGCTTCACCAAATCATTACGACATGGACTTAGTTGATCCTTGTTAACCCTTTACATCCTAACAGAAGTAGCCATATTCTCCCTACTGCTCTCTACATATTTCCGACAAGGAGAATTTGTTTAATAATCGAGAGCAGTAGAAGGCGATCATTTCCCATTTCATACAGCCGTTGTTAAAACAACTATAACCCTTCAAACTTTAACTGCGATCCACAAACTTTCAATTATAACCCACCTTACAACAGACAGCCTTCCAGCTGCACTGTCAATCATTTGCCACGGCAATGTGGAATCAAACATTGCATTTCTAAAGACCCTGGTCGACAATGTTAAGGACTCCAAGTTAGCAGTTGTGTAGTACAAAACCTGAAATACAAACAGTAGAGGCCATCGTCAACATTTCTTCTTCAATTTCACTCACAAAGGCACCAAATTACAGTTTGGGTGAAAGAAATATAGGCTACGCTCTGTTCACTGAGGAAACAGTATTTCGGCAAGGTGAAATTTACGACATCACTGCATGAGGGCAGTTTTTTCTTTCATTTTAAACAAAAGCACAAACTAAATAACAGAGATACAATGTATGCCAAGCTCGGTTCTAAAAGGAATTCGAATTGTCTCAAGCTAATTTTTGTGAAGTTTTAAAGATCCAACATGAAAATCAATATAACTTTTTAGCCTTGACCATTACAGTGTAATTACTTTTTACGATAATTATGTCCAAATTTAAGTAAACAAAATTTACCATGTCCTCCAAACACAAACTACTTCGCTTTGAAGATCATAAATTATAAAAAACACTTAAGGGCCTTGATTCTCCACCTGTATGACTAAATCAGTTCAAAAGACAGTAAGGGAGCACGTAAATTCTGTAACCCCAGGCACCAGTTGTTCACAGGGTGGATAAGGCTTTCCCCTGCATAAATCTTTATCCTGTGGATAGCACATTACACTTTATTAACACTTATCCACTAGATAGCGATGTATCTGATGAATAGCGCTATCCACCCCTCTGACCAAACGGACCTAGGTGTACCACCTTATGGGCACCACAGCATAACCAACAATTTATTGCCTAATGTTTATAAGAATGTATACACGCCTGTGTTTGTCTGGCTGTCAGCAATAGCCAGATGTAAGGTGCAGAGGATTAAACAAATGAAACATTGGGTGATAGTGCTCTCACCTCGTTAATGTTCTTCCAGAACTTGCTGTACTGATTGCCAATGTAAAACTGTGTATTGGGATCGTTGATACCAAAATACCCCTGGCTCCAGTTTACATATCTGTCCAGAAGACAAGTAAAATTTTAACTTAAATGGAAGAAATCAAATTGCAAAAATGTGAGGTCAATCACGATGACTTAAATGACAATGTCACATCCCATGAATTGCATATTATGATAGGAAAATGAAATTTCTGGCCTTGCAACATACTACATCAACAATCCGAGCTGCAGCAGTTTTGATCCCTAAATTTGCGGCAAATCTACTAACCAGTTTGTAACCTTTGTTTGGCAATCACTTACAATGTCACAACCTTTGACATCTTAAGTACAGCATGTATGTTGTCAAAATTTTGCCTGTCTTGATTTGCTGTGATGTCTTTTTTCACCGATGTAAATTGTTAATAAGTAATAACACGGTTTCCATGCAATTTGTAGTAAATAATTAAGCAATTGTACATTTTTTCAAAGACAACAAACTACACTTGCCTGTCGTCTTTAAAAAATGTACTCATGCTTATCAATACCAAATTGCACTCAACATCATGTTATTACCTATACTAATACAACATACTTGTGTGGAAAATGCCAAGCCAAGAGAAATGTGAAGGTCTGAAATAGAAATAGGTTATGATTAATCAAATCATTACTGGGTTTGAATTCAACCCACTTTGATCTTCTACTCATGAATAATAGTAATAATGATAATAATGGTAATCATCAGGATTTAACAATTTATAGTACATTAATGAATAAGCTCTTTGTCCAGTGTTTCCAAGTCCAATTGGAATTTGAAATTCAGCACATTGGCCCTTCATCACAGTCATAAACAAGCTGCTCCTAAAATGAAATTACCACTAATCTGTTGCTCACATTCTCTGTTGCCTATTTAGTATTTAAGAGAAATTAAAATTTACCTCTGAACTGTTAGGTGGGACTTCTCTCTCACAACAAACAGCTCCATTCCAAGTTTTACCCACCTGTAAAGAGACAATCATGGTAAACCTGCTCCTGATCTTTTAATTCTGATGATACAAACAACTTAAAAAGGTCTTGCACATAAAAAACCATACGAGACATCTCCATCTTTGTGAAAATGCATAAATGAAAGGTGGTGCAGAATAATTAAATCTTAATGTGACTTTCAATACAACATCTTCTTCTCTGCCTGTTCCGCAAGGGAATATTTGAAAAATCTGGAAGTAGAATCTGAGAGTCTGTCAGAAAGTCCCTTAAGATTACTTTTTTCATGCACCTCTTCTAATAGTATATAATTAAATCCATCTAAATCAAGAGACAAAAATTACACTGTATATACAATTAAGATAACAGTAAGTTACAGGACAAGACCCATAGTGAGGGAGGGGGAAGGGGGGCAGGTGCTAGTAACAGGGGCATAGACTCGAATTCTGACTAAGAGAAGCCACTATACTCCATTCCACTTGGTGCTTTGAAATAAAAGCTCTGGCTGGACAGCTCATTGGGCTCAAAAGCTCAGTGCACCTTTACTTTACATGTGAATTAACCTGACCATTACATAGTAAAGAACTTACTGGAGAGGGACCACACTTTCCTTGCCCAGGTAGTCCTGATAATGTAAAATATTGCCACATCTCTTTCACATCATCATATTGGAGCATTGTAGACAAATTATCACCTGGCTTTTTCACCACTGCAAAAATAATAATTTGAAAATTAAATTATGAAATAGACAATGAATTGACGAGTTGTTGTGATAACATCACAATTTCTCAACCAAATGAGAACTTCTGAAATCAAAGGACTGATTGTACAGCAAAAGGCTGCCACAGAATCTCTGTTTACAGTACCTGAGATGGACACATGTCCATTTGGTGCACTCCTCTCTTCCAAGGATGGGTTACTCATGTCAATACCAAACAGACAGCTAGATGAATTTCCGCAAAAAGAAAATTAAAAACTAACAAAAAACATTCATTTTATCAAATGATTCATTAATATGAAAATAAATTTGGTACACATCTTGTTACTAGAGGTATCAGAGATTGATGGAAAAATTGCCAAGGCCATTATTGAAAGAAAAATTATGTCTGAGCATTCCTCTTAACCATCTGAAAGCACAAATTAAACACCATTCTCAATGATACCTGGTCTGCAAAAGACTGTTAATATTTCCACCATATCCATCACAGGCAACTGCAATACAAAACAAATGCATCTAACATCTTCATTCATGAAGTGCAAAAAACAATATCTATGTAAAAATATCATCTTTATGAACTTTTATTAATCTGTAATAAAATTAATTTTACATGTCACAACTGCACTAAGTGCACCAATTCCATCAACTACACAAACTGCAGACCAATTTCGCCAACTGCATTGTGTGCAGCAACTGCATTGTGTGCAGCAACTGCACTTGAATCATTAAAAAAAGTCACACAATCTGTCAGATTACATCTAGAAGAAATCCTTCATTGACAGTTCTTAACCCTTTGACTCCCAAGATCACATTAGTAATTCTCCTTATTGTCTGCCATATAGTTCTAGTGATGTTGGTTAGGAGAATTTGTTATTGGATCTATTTACAATCCCCTAAGTGATATTTTTCTTTATTCTCATCATTTGTCTGCTTGGTATTGTAATGATATTGTTAGGAGAAATTCTGTCCTGGTCACTTATGGTAGTTAAAGGGTTAATGTAAAAACTATCTTTTTATCTGTTATCTGTCGAAAGATTAGCCTTATAATTTCTCTTCAGGAAGATAAAGGGTTACCATTGATTTACAAATAAAGAGAAAATCAAAGACAGAACTATGAGTCACAGGATGCTCAGAGAGCATTTTTCCAACCTTTCAAGGTTGCTCACTTGCATACATGTACACTCAGAAAGCATTACAGGAGCAAAGTAAACAATCCAACAAATTCACACCTTCTGAAGTAATTGGAGTCTGTCCATTCCAGCCAGCAATGTTTTGGAGTGATCCCAGTAATGAAACCTACATGTAAAATACATTAAATACAAGAGAAAGATGTTTTTCATCTTGCCACAAGCGTGGGACAAAGAAAAAATTCTGAATCCCCATGAGGAATTGAACATCAGACCTTTGGATTCCACACTCTGATGTTCTCAATTTCTTCACAGAGCTTAAAACTTTCCATCTCTCTTATTCTATTTACATTAAAAACTGTTATCAGTACAAATGTGCATCATCACTAAAAGGTCCAATGAACTCTGAGAAGCTATCCTCTCTTTACCCTCTCTAGAGCTGGTGAGTGTAATGTATTGCAAGTCCTTTCCCAGTTGAGCAGCCTAAGCATAAGATATCCCCATCAAACTTTCAGTGATTCTCTGACAAAATTTCAAGTTCAGGGTCACAGCCTTCATATGAGATGTCTTTGGTCAAATTAACAGTGATTCACTATATGTAAACACAAGTTTCTGCCAAGATGTTTAGCCAAACTATAAGATGTAATTGAAGGATTTGAATACTAAAACTCCAAACACTAACAATACCAGACACAGCCTAGTTTTGAAAACCCCCTGTGCTGCACAACACAAGTTTGTAACCAGACATATTGCCTGAGTTCAAGATATCCTGGGTATAAACTAACACAAATCCATGCCCAAGTATGTAGTCAAAGTTAGTGAGACATAATGGCTTTCTCAGGTGTATGTTACTATAAGCAGTATAACCTCCTCATGACCACTCAAATTCCAAGGTGTGTGATGACAGATCTAACTCCAGACTTATGAGGATGTTTTATCATTACAAAGTAATTCACCTTTGCAGCATCTTTTGATGAATTTGTCACAGTGTAGTTCAAGACAACCACTGGTATTCCACTGTTCTTGGAGTCCAGAGGGACACAGGGGTTGAATGCCTCTAAGTGCACTTGGACAGGCACCTCATCACTCAAAACATCAACTAGAAAAGGCAAAGAAATAACGTGAATATTTTGTAGTATGATCCACAGATAAGGTGAAAGATATTCCCCATCATATGGGAGCGGTGGGTGGTTTGGGAGAATTGGAACAAGGAAGTCCAAATGGAGGCTGTGACATACATATAAGTCTACTGTAGAGGACTCAGCCTTTCAGCTACAGTCATTGACCCACCCTTCCCCCATAAAAACCATCTTAGATATTTTGCCCTCCCCTCCCTCAAAAATTGAAGTGTTTTGACCCTTCACATGTATTTCACATCAGTTTGTAACACTAAATCTGGAGCACATCTCTGAATACTTATCAGAGAAGCTACAGAAATACTGTAACAGTCATATGGCTGTATTTTGCTTTCTAAAAGAAATTTAGCTTACAAGTTTATGTATCAGGGTACAAAGGTTCCTTGCCTTAAAATTTCAGTTACCAGTACTGATTGTTTAATAAATTATTATTGGATGACAAACCTTCTGCAATGGGGTATTTTGCTGTTACTTCCAAAGTTTTAACTCCAGGTAGTTCACTGAGAAGCTCTTTAGATCCATCTGGTACAACTACAAAATAAAGTTGAGTTCAGATCAGTTAATCTCATTAAATTTGAAATACATGTAGAAGGAATGATATAATATTTGTATACTGTTCAAAAGGACTGCAGATTTCTAATATTTGTATCTGAAAGATCTTCCAATTACCATGGTCTGTGACATATGCTGCAGGAGTGAATCCTTCCTCATCGTACCAAGTACTTGACTGAAGAATAACAGCATTACTGGTGCTTCCTTGCTCCACTCTAGGAAAAATAAAAAATACATCAATTATGAAATCACAGGATCTTTGAGGATCTTCAAGGATTGACAAAGACCTGCCAAAGATCCTTAAGGACAAGGATCTTTAAAAGATCTTTAAAGGATCTGTAAAAGATCCTCAAAGATCTTTGTAAGCAAAAACGTTTGTTAAGATCCTCAAGGATTTGATAAAGATCCTCAAAGGATATTACAAAGATCCTCATAAGGATCCTCGCAAAGTTCTTTTCAAGGATCCTTCAAGATCCTCAAGGATTTAGCAAGGATCTTTCAAAGACCCTCAAAAGATCCTTTCAAGGATCCTTTCAAGATCTTTGTAAGGATCCTTAAGGATTTAATCAGGATCTTGCAAGGATCCTAGTCAAGATCTTTGCAGGATCTTTTTGAGGATCTTTCAAGATCCTCAAGGATTTAATGAGGATCTTTTAAAGACCTTCCAAAGATCCTTTCAAGGATCCTATTAAGATCTTTGCAAGGATCCTTAAGGATTTGATCAGGATCTTACAAGGATCCTACTCAAGATCTTTGCAAGATCTTTTCAAGGATCCTTCAAGATCCTCAAGGATTTAATGAGGATCTTTTAAAGACCTACAAAAGATCCTTTCAAGGATCCTGTAAAGATCTTTGCCAGGATCCTTAGGAATTTGATCAGGATCTTACAAGGATCCTTAAGTCAAGATCTTTGCAGGATCTTTTCAAGGATCCTTCAGGATCCTCAAGGATTTAATGAGGATCTTTTAAAGACCTTCAAAAGAACCTTTTAGGGATCCTGCTAAAATCATCATCTTTGCTAAGATCCTTAAGAATTTGATTAGGAGTTACAAGGATCCTAGTCAAGATCTTTGCATGATCTGTTCTACAATCCTTTAAGATCCTCAAGGAATTGAAAAGGATCTTCCAAATATCTTTAAAAGATTCATTTCATGATTTTGTACAGCTCTTTGTAAGGATCCTTTTTGAATTTGATGTGGATCTCAAAGGCAACTTTGTCAAGATCTCTACCACATCTCTGCATTATGAATTAGGTTCCTTTGAAATCCTCAAGTAATTTCAAACATAACAAAATTGTAAATTGAGGGCTCACTGTTTTATAATTTAAACACAACAAGGAATTTTCGCAGAAAATTATTGTGCAATGAGTGTAATGAAGGTTACCGCATAGCAACGCCATGCTCGAGGCTTTCGGGAAACTTTGTGACTACTTACATGACAACAAATAGGGTTTTGCATTATGGGATAGGAATTTATACGCGCCGAGATTTTTAACGGTCGCATAAAAACATAAGAAGCTCGTTTTTACGGCAAATATCATCGACAATGGTCGGAACTAAAGGGAAAATGTACACAGAAATAAAGGTAAAGGAAAGGCGTTTTCTGGAGTTCAGAAACAAGCGAAAAGAGAGACAGAAACAACCGAAATCGTCAATCAAACTCCAAGCAGGTCTCGCGATTGCTCTGACTGTGAGGCTGAATAAAAAGAATTCATTGGTACTTCTGGAAAGAAAATGAAGATGCCATCCTCGCCTAATGATTCTTACTCTGAGCTCTTGGAGAGTGAGGATGCAAATGATGTGTTACAGGGACAAGGATACAGGCTTATCGATCTAGAGATTCTCCTCGACGCTCACTGAAGGACATGTTTCTGAAGAAGGTGTGAATTTACTTGGTTCTGTGTAACCAACTTAAAAAGCTCTTTTAGAGGTTGTCATATGAATTCCCGAAAACACTTATTTTGTACCTCAGGATGTATTAGTTCAATTAATCTGAAGTTTTCAGGGCTGTATCCTCTTACTGAGTTGAGTTGGATAAGCTGACAGTTTCTCTATAAGCTGAATTTTAAGTAAGATGTTGTGGAATAACTCACCTAATAATCTCGGTGAACTTTGAACGGGCATTGTGCCCATAATATAAACGACTCCAAAAGTTCCTCAGCTCATCCAAAAGAACGACCCTAGTACTTTGTTTTGACACTAAAAACACTTGATTTCATGCAATCTTTGTGCAGTTATCTTTTCTCAAGTTTACCTAGGTTTTTCACACCATGTGGTGGACAAATTGATCTGATGTCAAATAACAAATTAGTTTAGGGCAACATATTAGTTATATTCAGTATGTGTGATTCCTAAGCTTTCCTTTGGTATATAGGTTAATATGGTTCAGAAATATAGTCATTGAAGTACTCTTGTTTGCCTTTTTTTCATGTTTACCCCCTCTGTAAGAGTAGTCTGAGTCTGGTCATAGTCTAGTCCTAGACAAGTTTAACACATATATTTTGGTCTTCTTATCTTTGAGCTGGACTGTTGCCAGATTTTTTGGAAAATGAAAATCTTAGTACTAACCTAAAGTCTGAACAGAAATAGTGTAGAAGTAGTCCTACTAGAAGAGGATGGGTAATTCTCGTTTAGCAATAAAAAAAAGTTTTATCTTCATTTTTTTTATGTTTGGTTCAATTTTTCTTTTTAACTTAGTATGAGGATTTAAGTATGCTTATTTTCTTGTCAAAATTTCGAAGGTTCTATAACATTCTTGCTAAGATCTTCAACGATCTTCCATTTCCTTGCCAGGATCTTCAAGGTTCACTGACATTCTTGTCAAGATCTTTAAGGATCTTCAAATCTCTTGCAAAGATCTTTAATTTGGCTGTCAAAATCTTCAAGGATCTTTCTTTTTTATGCCAAGATCTTCAAAGATCTTTCAATTTATTGCCAAGATCTTTAAGGGTCTTTTATTTTCTTTCCAAGATCTTTAAGGATCTTCAAAATTTTCAAAAAGATCCTTGAAGATCTTGTCAAGAAAATGAGAGATCCTCAAAGATCTTAACAAGAATTTGGAAGATCCTCAAAGAATTTTCAAAGATCTTTAAAGGATCTTCAAAGTTCATGTAAAGATCTTCAAGGATCTTGACAGGAAAATGAAAGATCCTTAAAGATCCTGGCAAGAAAGTCAAAGATCCTTGAAGATCTTGGCAAGAAAATCAAAGATCCTTGAAGATCTTGGCAAGAAAATCAAAGATCCTTGAAGATCTTGGCAAGAAAATGAAAGATCCTTGAAGATCTTGGCAAGAAAATGAAAGATCCTTGAAGATCTTGGCAAGAAAATGAAAGATCCTTGAAGATCTTGGCAAGAAAATGAAGGATCCTTGAAGATCTTAACAAGAATTTTGAAGATCCTCATGAAGATCCTCAAGAGGATCCTCAAAGGTCCTCATGAAGATCTTGTAAGATCCTTAAAGATCCTTGAAAGATTTTCACCCAATAATTGACATTATTACTAAAAGTAACTTGTAGACCTTATGTCTGAGAATTTGGTATTGGATCAACTAATAACAACCTAATATATACTTTTCTTGGTTCTCATCACTTGTCTTCTTGATTTTATACCAGTATTGTTAAGAGAAATTCTGTGTTGGTCACTCATGGGAGTTAAAGGGTTAAAAGGTATAAAGTTCACTTTTGCAAGCAAATAGCCCAGAAAAAAGTTCTACAAGGTCTGATTTTGGCTTAAAAAAAGTGACCATCAAATCCAGCACTTGGGTGGGGTATTTCAACACAATTTTGCCCTCTAGGGCAGGGTATTAAACAAACCAATCTTCAAATATTCAAATGCCCAGGTGAGGAGGGGGGGAAATGTTGAATCTTCATATTTATTGACACTTTACTGTTTGGGTTTTCATGGTATGTACTTGCTTCATTATGAACAGTATTAAACCAGAACATTTGAACATTCCTTTGCATTTTCCACAAACATTGTTGGCTTACTTTTTCTCTAGTGGACCACTGCTTACATCTGGGTCAGGAGGGAGTGGCCTCAAAAATTCACAGCAGGACAGTGTAGATTGCACTCCAGTACAACAACTTGTCGGCTTCTATAAAAAAAAATCACATAAATTCATTTATCTAGTGGGGGCATTTTATCTGAATAGTTTCCAGTCTTAGGTGAGATCTGACAAAAACTTCAACTCCCAGAAGTGATTAACATGTATATTCTCCCTATAATATCCATACATCATCCTCAAAACAGGCATTGAGATTACTCAAACTTATCAGGTAGAGGTTGTTCTCTTGATCTAACACCAAATTCTTGTAACTAATTTAAAAGAAATGTGTAGCAGCTTGAGGAGAGAATTAACAATCAGACTTTGGGATTTAAGGGCTTTAATCGACAGCCCTGTACTCAGATCAGCTGCCACATCTGTCCACTTATTTCCCTTTGCATTCTGCCTTCCACCTGACTGTATAAAGGATGATTGCCAACATACTTGTGCCTTCACTTCTTTACAACAGCTTGAAGTTTCAGCTTTTCCCAAAAGAAGGATATTGACAGAGATTGTAGATCCATGTCCATCTTTATTTTCATGTTTGTTTTCCAACACTTCCTTCCATTCTTGTTCTGTGTTTCCCTATATTATAAATATATTAATGACATGGAATGTACAAACAAATCTGTCACCTGATCAAGTCTCTACAACGCTGTATGCAATTTGCTTTCTAAATAGCAAAAGCAGCAAGCCACTTCCCAGTTATAAAAGCCTTCACTTTCAAAAGGAGGCCAAGTGAAGAACCTACAGTATCTTAATGTTACCAAAATTCAATTTTCTTCATGAGTGCTTCTTACAGAGCCATGCTTTACAGCAGAGGCCATGGATTTCTTAGGAATGGCTTGTAAAGTAATTCAGCTACCATGCTTAGCTCAGCTGTTATGAAATAGGGATGTATTCATATGAAAATGTTTTTATTTAATCTTGTTCAATAGTCAAATTAAATATCTATCACTATCAGAACAAAGTAGTCTGCCTAGTCAAGTCTATGGTCCACACCCACTTAACTAATCCTAGTTTTCATAACATGAAGCCCGTTGGAGTATTGCCTACTTTTTGCATGCAGATTACTATACTACTGGGTGGAGAGAAGCAGTGTGTGCCAAAAGTGTCTTTCCTGAGCACAAAACCCAATAACCAGGGTAGGACTTGAAGGATAACCCCTAAATATTAGGTCCAGCAGGCTAACTTACTGGTAACCTTTTACACCTTAAAATCAGTATGCATATTCTCCATACTGTTCTCTATGCATTTTGTCAGGTGCTAACAAGGAGAATTTGTTTAACAATCAAGAGCTTCTTTATGTGGTGATCATTTCTTCAATTCTTGTGACCTTAATTTGTGATTCGGGGATGATACTTTTAGGCTGGTTAACTTTGCTTTGAACAACAGGGCCCAGAATTAGGCAGTAATTAAATCTTAACAATGACCAGCTGCTGATTTCTGCTTTCAGTAACACTACTGGATTATTCATTAAGTTCATGAGAATAAAGGAAGTGATCACCAAGCTAAGAAGCTTTGATTGTTACACAAATTCTCCTTGCAGTACCTAAGGAAATGTCAAGGGAAAAGTATAGAGAACATGGATACTGATGTTAAGTTGTAAAGCGTTAATCATCACTTGAAAAATGAACACTTACAAATATGAGATCACCCTCATCGTCAAAATAACTAAATGCAAGTGAGTAAGTGATTGACAGCTTGTCCTTCACCCATTGTGCAACTTCTTTCCATCTGAAATTGGAAATTCAAAATGAGTTGTTTGCTAAATGTGTGAATTTTTCTAAAAATTTGTGTGTCAAACTGGATCAGGACCCCTCTTTTGCTATCTTCAAGAACATATACTAAATTCCTAGGAAGAATTCACATAAAATTACTAATAATGCATCATATTATGTTTACATTAATCAGTCATGGTGGCTTGCAATTGTCTCACAATGTATTCAGTTCCAGTTGGGACTGTGCTATTTCCATGGCCAACCGCTCCTCTTTGCTAGACAATAAGGTGAACTGCTTGCACACCATCTTAACAAGCATTATGCTCCATTATGATTAGTTGGTTTTTAATCCTTTAACTCTAATGTGTGACCGAGACAGAACTTCTCTTTACAATATCAATACATATTAAGAAGACTTGTGATGAGAATATAGAAAAACATCAATTCAGGAATTATTAGTGGGTCCAGAAACAAATTCTCAATACTGACATCATGAGAATTGTGAGATCTTGAAGTAATGACGCATCAAAGCATGTTTACCATGATCAGTCACCATGTCTGTCCCATAATTTATTCACTTCCAATGGAGATTGTGCTATTTCCAGGGCAAACTACTCCTCTCGTGAACTGGTTACAAACTACCTTAACAAGCATTATGCAATCCAATATGATTGGTTGATTTTCAACAGCAGTGACTTAATCCCAACAACAAGATTTCTTCTTCATGTGCGCGTAAATTCATATCAAGATAAACAGCAAAACAAACTCCTTATGCAGTGAATTAGTACACGTAATAAATACGATTGGACTGCACAGAAATGATTGTTCTAGCAATTAAGGCTTGGTAATACAATTTTTGATTAGCAAATGACGTTATTAAGAAAACGATTAAGTTGCAAACTTTAATTCATAGCGAATGGCATGAAAGAAAGAGATCGAGGTAAACTGGAATCCATTCCATCAACACTAATTGCCCTCCTGGGAAAAACACTTCGAAATGTTCTCTGACCCAACTAGTTCACAGATCGGTTCCTAAAGCTAACATCAAAATAAACCACTACAACAAAAGTGGAAGTTGAACTACTGGATATGGATCTTTAATCAAATTGATAAAAGTTGTTCGAACATCTTTCGCTATCGCTGAAAGTTGTTCTAACTCAACTGTTTTGTGACATACCTGACTGTGTCTGTTGTCTGATAGAGATATGGCTTTTTATCGGTTAATTCACATCCATTTTCATCAACAACATTTAGTTTAAGGTCAAGTTTTCCTTCCATGGCCGTTTCGAATTATGCCCAGAAAGATGACAATGTTGTTTTTAAAGGCAATCTGCTGACTATCACATGACTCAGCTTCTTCGAACCCAGGAGCACTCATACGACTGCTGTGTTCATCGGTTCATCGTGATATAAAAGAGGTCACGCATTTTCCACTCGAAAATTTGAGCGTAGTTCCTGAAAATGTAGCATTATACCCGAAGTTTGTGCGTGATTTTGTATTATGCTTTATTTTGTAACTCAAATTCAAGAGCGTTAAGAGCCCCACGCCCCCCTCCCTCCCACCTCCTCCACTTTTCTGCTCTGCGGAGGAAATGTCAGTCTTTAAACTCTTTAGGTAGCCAATTTACGTTTTCAACTCAGTTGTTAACATTACATTGCCTTTAATGAAGTAGCTTAGCATAAAAAATTACAGAAAAGTACTAGAAACGACATTTGAGACGGATATCCCGAAAACATCATAATAAAATTACTAAAAACGCAGGTTTAAATGTTTATGCACTAGAACTTTAGACATACCGGTCACAGCGGATTTGGACCCCCCGGTGAACCCCCCCATTTCGTATCAACATTGATACGAAACGTCATAACAATTGTGGAGACTGTTGCATCCAGTCACAAAAATAACTCAGTCTGATTTTCTAATTAAATAACATCAAACAGTTTCTGAACAAGAGTGAAGTAACTACTCTTCCTACAAGTCGTTCGTAAAGCCTATGATAAGTAAAAATGTTTCCATTCTGAACTATTGGAACTCTCAGCTTATTTTCAAATGCAAATCAACATTAATGTCTTTGTCTTAACAACAGTAGAGACTATTACATCGAACTCAATCTTATTTTCTAATTTTAACGATTGGTGACAGTTGAGGGATCCGAAATAAAACCTTAACAATTACGAAGACTTCTAGAGTCTGGCGGTTTTAGATTCTTAGATTGCTCGCAGCTCATGTGTAACCATTCCTCGCATAACTCGCACTGTACCATGTCGTCCCAACACTCGGGCATTGAACAATTCACAAATAAATTAGTGTCACAAGCTTGTCTCTTATTGAATCTAGCGGTGTTCGACTATCGTGGAAAAGGTTCAAAAACGACCTCTCTCCAAACATTAAACTCAATAATGCTTGTGCATTTTCCCTTAGTCAAAAAAAACATCTGACGGGTCATTTCTAGCTGTCAGTTCGTATGTATTGGCGATACGCATATTTTAAATTAAAAAAATACTTTGGTACGCACTGGAACGTAAAGTATTATCTTTTTCTCCTAAAACGTTAAAGATGATGTTTTCACTCAATTTTGTTGTGGGGTCCAAATCCGCGGAGGGAGGTCCAAATCCGCCCGGACACCACCGGCATTATGCGTATCTAAGTACTTTAGTATTATCAACTGAGCGTTCTGACAAGGAACGTCGCTTGACTGAATTTTTTACCATTACGAGGTGCTTCGAATCGAGTTGAATAATAAGTGAACTTTATTTATTTCAAAGGCTGACATGATCTATTCATTGTATCTGCTACAAAACTTCACTTTACTTCACGTTATTCCGATGCCTTTTTGGTATTTAGCGAGCTAGAGTAAGAAAGGACATATACATTTTCTTTATTAGTTTAAGTGAGCGGTTAATCTAATATCTCATCATTTGATTACCCACAGTTTCTTTAGAAACTTACCCCCCCCCCCCCCCGCTTACCTCATTAAAGGCCTGGTTACCTGTCGGTGGCAGGGCAGAGAGGTGGAAGAGGTGGGGGAGGGGGTGTGGGGCTCTTAAACGCTCTTGAATTGAGTTACAAAATAAAGCATAATACAAAATCACGAACAAAACTTCCGGTATAATGCCATATTTTCAGGAATTACGCTTAAATTTTCGAGTAAAATATGCGTGACCCTTTTGATATCTCGATGAACACAGCATTCGTATGTTATGAAAAGTCACGACATCAAATATCGAGTGCTCTTGGGTTTGAAGAAGCTGAGTCATGTGATTGTCAGCAGATTACCCGCAGACACAACATTAGGATCTGTTATGTCATAACTCGGAACTGCCATGGAAGGAAAATTAAACCTAAAACTAAATGTTGTCGATGAAAATGGGTGTGAATTAACCGATGGAAGGTCACTTCTCTATCAGACAACGTACACAGTCAGGTATGTCGAAAAACGGTGGAGTTAGAGCAACTTTCAGAAATTTGAAATTTAATTTCAGATCCATATCCAGTAATTCAACTTCCGCTTTTTTTGCATTGGTTCATTTTGATGTTAGCTTTAGGAATCGATCCGTAAACTAGTTGGTTCAGAGAACGTTTCGAAGTATTTTTTCCAGGAGGACAATTGTGTTGATGGAATGGATTCTAGTTTACCTCGATCGCTTTCTTTCAAGCCATTCGCCATAAATTAGTTTGCAACTTAATCGTTTACTTATAATAACGTCATTTGCTTATTAAAAATTGTATTAACAAGCCTCAATTGCTAGAATCATTATTCCTGCGTTAAGTTCAGTTGTATTTATTACATGTATTAATTCACTGCATTAGGAGTTTGTTTTGCTGTTTATCTTAATGTGAATTTATACTTGCACACGAAAAAGAAATCCTGTTGTTGGGATTGGTTGGTTAAGTCACTGCTGTTGAGAATCAACCAATCATATTGGAGCATAATGCTTCTTAACGTGATATGTAACCAGTTCACAAGAGGAGCAGTTTGGCCTGGAAATAGCACAATCTCCATTGGAAGAGAATAAATGATGACTGATCTTAGTGAACATACTGTGATGTGTCATTGCTTCAAGATCTCATTAATAATTCTCCTTACTGTCTCTCATACAATTCTTATGATGTCAGTATTGAGAATTTGTTACTGGACCAACTAATAATTCCTGAATTGATGTTTTTCTTCATTCTCATCACTAGTCTTCTTAATGTGTACTGATATTGTAAAGAGAAAACTCATTTTGAATTTCTAATTTCAGATGGAAAGAAGTTGTGCAGTGGGTGAAGGACAAGCTGTCAATCACTTACTCACTAGCATTTAGTTATTTTGATGATGAAGGTGATTTCATATTTGTAAGTGTTCATTTTTTACATGATGATATATGAGCCCTTTACAACTTAACATCGGTATCCATGTTCTCTATACTTTTCCCTTGACATTTCCTTAGGTACTGATGAGGAGAATTTGTGTAACAATCAAAGCTTCTTAAATTGGTGATCACTTCCTTTATTCTTATGAACTCAATGAATGATTCAGCAGTGTTACTGAAAGCAGAAATCAGCGGCTGGTCATTGTTAAGGTTTTTAAGAGTTAGTTACTCTTTAATCCTGGGTCCTGTTGTTCAAAGCAAAGTTAACCCTTTAACCTCTACCATCTAATTTCTCCTTACAATATCACCCCTGAGTCACACTTCAAGCTCATGAGAATTGAGGAAATGATCACCACATAAAGAAGCTCTTGATTGCTGAACAAATTCTCCTTGTCAGCACCTTAGGACATGTATAGAGAACAGTATGGAGAATATGCATACTGATTATTGGGTTTTGTGTTTTGGAAAGATACTTTGGCACATACTGCTTCTCACCACCCAGTAGTATATAGTAAGACAAAGGAAGAACTGATAAATTGCTACAGCTGTACAATAATCTGCATGCAAAAAGCAATCCATTGAGTATGTGATCTAAAGCAATTAACTCCAAGAGGCTTCATGTTATGAAAACTGGAACTAGTTACAAGGGTGTGGACCACAGGCTTGATTGGGCAGACTATTTTGTTCTGATAGTGATAGATGTTGAATTTGAGTATTGAGTAAGATTAAATAAAAACATTTTCATTTGAATACATCCCTATTTCATAACAGCTGGGCTAAGCATGGTAGCTGAATTACTTACAAGCCATTCATAAGAAATCCATGGCCTCTGCTGTAAAGCATGGCTATGTAAGAAGCACTCATGAAGAAAATTGAATTTTGGTAACATTAAGATACTGTAGGTTCTTCACTTGGCCTTGTTTTGAAAGTGAGGGCTTTTATACCTGGGAAGTGGCTTGCTGCTTTTGCTATTTAGAAAGCAAATTGCATAAAGCGTTTTAGAGACTTGAACAGGTAACAGAATTGTTTGTACATTCCATGTCATTAATATATTTATAATATAGGGAAACACGGAACAAGAATGGAAGGAAGTGTTGGAAAACAAACATGAAAATAAAGATGGACGTGGATCTACAATCTCTGTCAATATTCTTCTTTTGGGAAAGGCTGAAACTTCAAGCTGTTGTAAAGAAGTGAAGAGACAAGTATGTTGGCAATCATCCTTTATACAGTCAGGTGGAAGGCAGAAATTGCAAAGGGAAATAAAGTGAACAGATGCAGCAGCTGATCTGAGTGCAAGGCTGTCAAAAAGCCTTTTTATCCCAAAGTCTAATGCTAATTCTCTCCTCAAGCTGCTCACATTTCTTTTAAATTAGTTACAAGAATTTGGTGTTAGTTCAAGAGAACAACCTCTACCTGATAAGCTTGGGTATTCTCAATACCTGTTTTGTGGATGATTAATGGATATGATAGGGAGAAGTTACATGTTAATCACTTCTAGGAGTTTAAGTTTCTGTCAGATCTTGCCTAAGACTGGGAACTATTCTGATATAATGCTCTTACTGGATACATGAATTGATGTGATTTGTTGTAGAAGCCGACAAGCTCTTGTACTGGAGTACAATTGAAACTGTCCTGCTGTGAATTTTTGAGGCCACTCCCTCCCAACCCAGATGTAGTCAGTGACCCACCAGAGAAAAAGTAAGCCCAAGAATGTTTGTAGAATATGCAAAGGAATGTTGAAATGTTTTGGTTCAATGCTGGTCAGAATGAAGCAAGTACATACCATGAAAACCAGAACAGTAATGCATCAATCAGTTTGAAGTTGGTGATCATTTCTGTTACTCTCATGAGCTTAAAGTGTGATTCAGGGGTGATACTGTAAGGAGAAATCAGATGCTGGTGTTAAGTGTCATTTTGTGTTGTCAGGGTCAACCCACGTTTGCACGAGTACAAGTACAGTGGTGATGCCCTGAGAGCTGTTGCTTTGCCACTTGGACCAATAGGTATGTGAAAAACAGAAATAATATATAAAAAATTTTTTTATTTATAAACACTTTGTATTAAGTACGCCATTTTCAGTAGTTTAACACATAATATGTGTGGATGTTTTGCGCATTGTGTGGTTTTTTTCTGAGCCTGTCAGGGCAAAGAATGTATCATAAGTTAAAGCATTATAATTAGGGATTTATTGATACCACTGTTGTTCCAAGACTATAATATTAATTCCACTAAAAGTAAAGCCAATAAAATAAAAAACAAAATCAAAGTTTAGATCATTCAGTGCAGGACATTTTGTTGCTCTGTATTTTTGCCCTACTCTACAGTGCATTCTTATGATCATATTTGGTAAAATTACAAGGCAGTGGAAAAAATAAAAAGTTAATATGATTAATTAAGCTTGAATCAAAAAGCACAACCTTGAAAAAAAAGAGACCATATCTGAGATGTGCAAAACCACTCTTTTAAAGCACAAAAGGGGTGGTGTGAGGCTCCATTTTCACAGCAAAGGTTTTACACTTAGCCTCTTTTTCCAAGTGATGGTTTATAGACATTGGACCAAAACAGTCCTGATTGGCTAGTTTCCCCTTCAGACTGATCTTGAGGAAGTACCTTGACCTTACATTTTATTTACAATGGGCCTTAAGCATGCTTTTGTATGCCCTCTGCTTTCAGAGAAAAGATTAGACCTCTGCTATTAATTCACTTATAAGTAATTTCTTACCAATCTTTTTTGAACTTGCAATATTTGATTTGCATTATTTGACATATGGTGATCTATTTTAGAATGTTTGTGACATGATGATTGATAAATTTTATTTTCATTTTTTTTAGTTAGTAATTTATGATAATTTATCTTAATTATTTATTTGATCATTTTTTAAATTTGACAATTTATGATAATTTATTTTTGATACTTTATTTGATTTTTCAGGTGGTGGCTCTATAGCATTAGCTGGTGATGGGGGTCTACGCCAGTGGCAGATTACCAACACAGTCAATCATTTAGCTCATGTACCAGATTCATTCTTTGCCATTCGGTTTGTAAATGATTTGTGTTGGTTGAAGTCTTTCCCAAGTTTGTTGAGTTGCATGAACTAAGAAAACCAGAGTAAAACCAATCATAGGGCCGATCCAGGAATTTTTGATAGGAGGCAAAAAACATAGAAATATATTTTTTCCCTTAAGCCAAATTACATGTAAGTAAAGAAATATTGCAAGACAAGTAGATATAGGTTACTTTATAAAGAATTAATTTTACATGCAGTCCTGTCATTACTGACAATAATTTTGGTGTCTGGAAAGTGGGAAAAAAACCTACAGATTTGATTCCCCACACCCTTTCTGTGGATTTGCTACTGAAACCTCTAAGAGATCAGAAAATATAAGCAAACTACAACCCCACATGAAATTAGCCTTCCTGGCTACACAAGTCACTTTTTATACATATTAAATATTTTTAGTGTTAATGTCTTTCACATTTTCACAATAAAATGTTTGCTACTCATTTTAATGTTTCTTTTGTTTGAGATTGAGATTGATGGTTTGAAAAATGTTAAATCAACAAAATTTGAGCCATTTCATAATTGATATACTTGTTATTTTTCCTAGAGTGGAGCAAGGAAGCACCAGTAATGCTGTTATTCTTCAGTCAAGTACATGGTACGATGAGGAAGGATTCACTCCTGCAGCATATGTCACAGACCATGGTAATTGGTAGATCTTTCAGATAAGATTATTAGAAATCTGCAGCCCTTTTGAACAATGTAAAAATACATATCACTCCTTCTATTTCAAATCTATAATGAGATTAACTGATCTGAACTCAACTTTATTTTGTAGTTGTACCAGATGGATCTAAAGAGCTTCTCAGTGAACTACCTGGAGTTAAAACTTTGGAAGTCACAGCAAAATACCCCATTGCAGAAGGTTTGTCACCCAATAATAATTTATTAAACAATCAGTACTGGTAACTGAAATTTTAAGGCAAGGAACCTTTTTACCTTAACTCATAAACTTGGTAGCTTTCTTTCAGAAAGCAAAATATAGCCATATGACTGTAGTTTTGTAGCTTCTTTGGTAAGTATTCAGAGATGTGCTCCAGATTTAGTGTTTCAAACTGATGCAAAATACATGTGAAGGGTCAAAACACTTTGATTTTTGAGCAGGGAGGGCAAAATATCTAAGTTGGTTTTTATGGGGGAAGGGTGGGTCAATGACTGTAGCTGAAAGGCTGAGTCCTCTACAGTAGACTTATATGTATGTCACAGCCTCCATTTGGACTTCCTTGTTCCAATTCTCCCAACCCAAAAAACCACCACTCCTATATGATGGGGGATATCTTTTACCTTGTCTGTGGATCATACTACAAAATATTCACATGATTTCTTTGCCTTTTCCAGTTGACATTTTAAGTGATGAGGTGCCTGTCCAAGTGCACTTAGAGGCATTCAATCCTTGTGTCCCTCTGGACTCCAAGAACAGTGGAATACCAGTGATTGTCTTAAACTACACTGTGACAAATTCATCAAAAGATGCTGCAAAGGTGAATTACTTTGTGATGACAAAACTTTCTCATTATATCTTATGCTTAGGCTGCTCAACTGAGCAAGGACTTACAGTACATTACACTTACTGGCTCTAGAGAGGGTAAAGTGAGGAGAGCTTCTCAGAGTTCAGAGGACCTTTTAGTGGTGATGCACATGTGTATTGATAACAGTTTTTAATGTTATAGAATAAGAAAGATGCTGGGTAAGTTTTGAGTTTTGTGAAGAAATAGAGAACATGGGAGTGTGATCCAAAGGTCTGAGGTGCAATTCCTTGTGGGGATTCAGAATTTTTTCTTTGTTCTGGGCTTGTGGTAAGACAAAAAACATGTTTCTCTAGTATTTAATGTGTTTTACATGTAGGTTTCATTACTGGGATCACTCCAAAACATTGCTGGCTGGAATGGACTGGCTCCAATTACTTCAGAAGGTGTGAATTTGTTGGATTGTTTACTTTGCTCCTGTAATGCTTTCTGAGTGTACATGTGTGCAAGTGAGCAACCTTGAGAGGTTGGAAAAATGCTCTCTGAGCATCCTGTGACTCATATATAGTTCTGTCTTTGATTTTCTCTCTATCTGTAAATCAATGGTAACCCTTTATCTTAAGAGAAACTATCAGAGGCCAATGTTACTATATAAATAACAGATAAAGAGATAGTTTTTACTTTCAAATTAGCATTTTATCAAAAGCTGTCAATGAAAGATTTCTTCTATATATTCTGACAGATTGTTGTGAATTAATTTGTTAATGATTCAAGTGCAATTTCACACAATGTAGTTGCATGGCAAAATTGGTTTGTAGTTTTTGTAGTTAATGGAATTGGTGCACTTAGTGCAGTCATGTGGTGGATCTTGTGACATGTAAAATTAATTTACAGATTATAAAAGTTCATAAAAGTGATATTTTAAAATAAATATTTTTGTTTATACTACATGAATGAAGATGTTTGATACATTTGTTTTGTATTGTAGTTGCCTGTGATGGATATGGTGGAAATATTAACAGTCTTTTGGAGACCAGGTATCTTGGAGAATAGAGTTTAGTTAGTGTTTTCAGACAGTTAAGAGGAATGCAGACATAATTTTTCTTAATGAATCATTTGATAAAATGAATGTTTTTTCTTAGTTTTTAATTTTCTTTTTGTGGAAATTTATCTAGCTGTCTGTTTGGTATTGACATGAGTAACCCATCCTTGGAAGAGCGGAGCGCATCAAATGGACATGTGTCAATATCAGGTACTGTAAATAGAGATTCTGTGGCAGCCTATAGCTGTACAACCAGTCCTTTGATTTTAGAAGTTCTTATTCGGTTGAGAAGTGCCCCTTTCCCCATTAACAGTGTGAAACAAAGTTAGCTGAAGAAAATAACTTGATACTGTCTTGGGAGTTGAAAGGCAGAGAGAGGTGCTGATACAGCTAGGTACAACAAGTAGCAGGTTTTTACACTTTTAATAACTGGCAAGGATCGGTTTACTCACCATGGTTGTACTGCTCACTTTAAAGACAAGCAACTAATATTTATCCTGTATCCTGACAGTGATCTGTGAAAAACATCTAATCTAATTATTAATTACTTGACTTCCTTAATGTTGGTGTGCATATATTTTTCAACATCATACACCTTGTGCAGCTATATCAAGAGATTTTTTTCTTTTTTCAATGTTAGACAAACCCAATAAACTTAAAATTAAATTATTTTTATGCTTAAAACCAATTTTAAAATTTATGCACCCCAAATTGTGATGTTATCACAATGGCTCATTAATTCATTGTCTATTTTATATTAATTAAATTTTTAAATTATTATTTTTGCAGTGGTGAAAAAGCCAGGTGATAGTTTGTCTACAATGCTCCAATATGATGATGTGAAAGAGATGTGGCAATATTTTACATTATCGGGACTACCTGGGCAAGGAAAGTGTGGTCCCTCTCCAGTAAGTTATTTATTATGTAATGGTCAGGTTAATTCACATGTAAAGTAAAGGTGCACTGAGCTTTTGAGCCCAATGAGCTGTCAAGCCAGAGCTTCTATTTCAAAGCACTTAGTGGGATGGAATATAATTACAGTGACTTCTCTGGTCACTGGCACCTGCAACCAACCCCCTCCCCCCTTCCTCCCAATGGGTCTTGTCTTGTAACTTACTGTAATATTAATTGTATACACAGTATATTTTTTGTCTCTTGATTTGGATGGATTTATTAAACATATATTATGCGAAGAGGTGCATGAAAAAAGTAGCCTTATGCAACTTTCTGATAGACTGTTAGATTCTTAACTTCCAAATGTGTCAAATATTCCCTTGTGGAACAGGTGGAGAAGTGTTCTGCACTACCCTTCATTTATGCATTTCCACAGAGATGGATGTGTCTTGTGCGGTTTTCTATGTGCAAAACCTTAAAGTTTTTAAGTTGTTTGTATTTTCTGAGTTAAAAGATCAGGAGTAGGTTTACCATGATTGTCTCTTTACAGGTGGGTAAAACTTGGAATGGAGCTGTTTGTTGTGAGAGAGAAGTCCCACCTAACAGTTCAGAGGTAAATTTTAATTTCTCTTAAATACCAAATAGGCAACAGAGAATGCTAGGAACAGATTAGTCTTAATTTTATTTTAGGAGTAGCTTGTTTATGACTGTGATGAAATGCCAATGTGCTGAATTTCAAATTCCAGTTGGACTTGGAAACATTGGACAAAGAGCTTATTTACTGTTAAATCCCCTGATTATTACCACCACTATTATTATTACAATTATTACTATTATTTATTATTACTATTATTTATTATTACTATTATTTATGAGTAGAAGATCAAAGTGGGTTGAATTCAAACCCAGTAATGATTCAATTAATCATAACCTATTTGTATTTCAGACCTTCACATTTCTCTTGGCTTGGCATTTTCCACACAGGTATGTTGTATTAGTATAGGTAATAACATGATGTCAAGTGCTATTTGGTGTCAATAAGCAGGTGGAGTAAATTTTGCAAAGACAATGGGTGAGTGCAATTTGTTGTCTTTGAAAAATGTACAATTGCTTATTTGTACCAAATTGCATGAGAAATCATGTTATTACTTATTATTAATTTACATGAAAAAAAAAACATCACAAAAAGTCAAGACAGGTGTGTTTCATGAATAATAGTGTACATGACTGGCTGAAAATGGGTGTATTCTCATGTAACATGAGTGCAAAGTTGTAACATGAGTGCAATTACAAATAGCGCATACTGTCAAAATTTATCTGTCTTTACTTTCTGTGAAGATTTTTCATGTACATCATTAACAAGCAACAACATGATTTCAAGTTCAGATTGGTGTAATAAGAACTTGTAAATTTTTCAAAGACTACAAATTGCACTTGCCCTGCAGGCTTGTGCAATTTTGTTGTATTTGAATAATTTACTTGTGCTTATTACAACTAAATTGCAGTGGAAATCATTTTATTACCTGTGCTAAAGCACTCACTTTCTGCCAATCAGAAGTGCATATTTTTTCATGTATATTTTATTAAGCTGGAAATGGTGTAAGCATAATCAGAAATAAGACATGGCATCAAAATCATGAAATATGTTGGAAAAGGTTTACTTTACACAGTTTTATAGATACAGTATATAGGGATTGGTATTCATTTGATGTTTTTGAAATTAACAAGTGATTGATGCTTTATATTGATTGATTGATTTTTATTTAATTAATTATTTGATGGACTTATTAGTTGACTGATTGATTGACTGATTGATTGATTGACTGATTGATTGACTGATTGATTGACTGATTGATTGACTGATTGATTGACTGATTGATTGACTGATTGATTGATTGACTGATTGATTGATTGACTGATTGATATATCAACTGATTCATTGATTGACTGTTGATTGATTGACTGATTGATTGATCAATTGATTGCTTAATTGACTGATGGGTACAGTGCACTGTACATGTTGGAGTCTGTGCAAGTGTATGCACAGGACTCCAAGTCCAAAATTTTCCAAAATTGCCAGTTGGGGACTACAATCATTGATTAGTTGCTTGAAAAAATTTTTTAGTTGACTGAAAGAGAAAAGAAATATTTAAAATGTCAAAGGTTGTGACATTGTAAGTGATTGCTAAACAAAGGTTAACAAACTGGTTGGTAGATTTGCTGCAAATTTAGGGATCAAAATTACTGCAGCTCAAATTTTTGATGTAGTATGTTGCAAGGCCAAAAAGTTCATTTCCCTATCATAGTATACAATGCATGGGATGCGACACTGTCATTTAAGTCATAGTGACAAACCTCACATTTTTGCAATTTTATTGCTTCCATTTAAGTTAAAATTTTACTTGTCTTCTGGACAGATATGTAAACTGGAGCCAGGGGTATTTTGGTATCAACGATCCCAATACACAGTTTTACATTGGCAATCAGTATTGCAAGTTCTGGAAGAACATTAACGAGGTGAGAGCACTATCACCCAATGTTTCATTTGTTTAATCCTTTGCACTTTACATCTGGTTGTTGCTGACAGCCAGACAAACACAGGCGTGTATGCATTCATATAAACATAAGGCAATTAATGTTGGTTATGCTGTGGTACCCATAAGGTGGTACACCTGGGCCCAGTTGGTCAAAGGGGCGGATAGCACTATCCATTGGATACATCGCAATCCAATGTAATATGCTATCCACAGGATAGAGATTTATCCAGGGGATAGCGTTATCCACCCTTCAAACAACTGTTGCCTGGGGTTACAGAATTTATATGCTCCCTTACTGTCTTTTGGAATTCAGTCATGGATGTAGAATCAAGAACCTAAAGTGTTCTTTACAATTTATGATATTCAAAGTTGTTTGTGTTTGGAGGACATGGTAAATTTTGTTAACCTGAATGTAAACAAAATTACGACAAAAAGTAATTATACTGTTATTGTTAAGGTTAAAAAGTTATACTGATATTCATGTTGGATCTTTAAAACTTCACAAAAATTAGCTTGTGACAATTCGAATTCCTTTTTGAACTGAGCTTGGCATTCATTTTATCTTTGTTATTTAGTTTGTGCTTTTGTTTAAAATAAAAGAAAGAACTGCCCTCATGGAATGATGTCGTAAGTTTCACCTTGCCGAAATACTGTTTCCTCAGTGAACAGAGCGTAGCCTATATTTCTTTCATCCAAACTGTAATTTGGTGCCTTTGTGAGTGAAATTGAAGAAGAAATGTTGACGATGGCCTCCACTGTTTGTATTTCAGGTTTTGTACTACACAACTGCTAACTTGGAGCCCTTAACATTGTCGACCAGGGTCTTTAGGAATGCAATGTTTGATTCCACATTGCCGTGGCAAATGATTGACAGTGCAGCTGGAAGGCTGTCTGTTGTAAGGTGGGTTATAATTGAAAGTTTGTGGATCGCAGTTAAAGTTTGGAGGGTTATAGCTGTTTTAACAACGGCTGTATGAAATTGGAAACGATCACCTACTACTGCTCTCGATTATTAAACAAATTCTCCTTGTCAGTACCATAAGAAATATGTAGAGAACAGTATGGAGAATATGGATACTGATCTTAGGGTGTGCTGTGATGATTTGGTCAAACCAATCATCACGTGTTAAGATTTTGTGACGATTGCTTGGTTGGTCGTTGTAGCCAGGAAGGATCCAGGGACAACAAGTCCTTTTTCCGGTTTTCTTGATTCTTTTCAAATAAACATTAATGCTTTGTTTCGCACATTCGGCTGCTTCCAAAAAGACTGAAATAAGCACTGTTTCGACCCTTAAAACTTTTAAAAGTTTCGAATAAGCGCCTTCCCTTGATGTACCAAAAGTCATCACGTTCATCAGATTTAACGAGAGATAAAATATTTTCTGTTAGATCCCCCACGTGTATGTGGTTGGCTGATGGCAATCTTTATGGATTTGAAGGTACAAATGATTAACATCTAACTTCCTCACACAACGCTGATACATTATCCTGTATGCTGGTGATGAGAATATGAGAATAGACGTTTCAGTTTGGGTGTAAAACCAAACTCGCTAAGCTAATTTTTTATGAGATGTGAAGCGGTTATGAATAAGAGAGACTAATCAGACCCTTGAAGTTTTGAGGGGTGAATACAGTTTTAAAACCATCATGTTATCATGTGGCCAGAGTGAAATGCAGTAGTGGTTCTTGTTAGCCTGTGAGAAGGCCCCATTATGAGAGCTTGGGCGCAAGCGTTTTTTTCCCGCGGGAAAGTACCAGCCCTTGAGCAACGTGAGCCAGTGATAGGTCAGCTAGGGGTCTGGCACTAATAGTAGTACCAGATCCCCGGTAAACCTCTCCCCGACTCGCCTCATATATTCCCGTGGGCGGAGAAACGCGCGACCTGCATCGCTAAAATGACAATAGTGGCCTTCTCGCAAGCTAGGTTCTTGTTAGGTGAAGTGATTCTGGAAACTCTCGGCTCAGTTTTTACAGTATGAAAAATTGAATTTAAATTTTGGAGAGGTCGAAGCGTTTGCCAGTACGTAACGAGATTGAATCTTTGAACTTGATTGAATGTATATATTTAATTAAATGTATATATTAACGTTTCTGGTTGTCTTTTTTTTTTCTCCTTCCATTTCCAGGATGTAGTAAAGTTGGAGGTGAGTTCGTGTTGAAGCGCTTTTTAATCGAGTGTTATAAAACCAACTTCAAAGTAATCAGAATGGCAAATCAAAGCTGAGGAGAATATCGTAAGGGACGAACGAGTACTTAAAGTGTAAACAAGCAACCTTTCCGAAGCACGAGTTAACGAGCATGACAAAATCGCGACTTGATTTTGTGTGCCCTGATTGGTTTATAAGGTGGCGCGAGTTTTCTGGACCAATTACGGAGCGAAGTAAAGAGAAATCAAAGTAATTCCCGATTCCTATCGACGCTTAGTTGAATGTTTACTCCACAATCAAATTTTACTGCATTTCTCCAACACAAGCATAAACGCACTTTTTAAGTTGTTGGCCACCTGTAAAGGAGAAGTTGGAAATTTTAATTTTCCTATTAAAACTGTCGCTGTTCAAACATCTTTGCGCGAATTTATTTAGCCAAGACGCTATTATTAGGGTGTCGTTTAAACTGCGTTGGTGCCTATTTGTGAAACTTTGATACTGATTTCATATTTCATGTCGTCAGGTTGTTGCCCGCTCAATTGCACACACGTGTTCAACTATGAAATGGCCATTGCAAAGTAAGTTCTGTGGCACTATAACTGTCTAATTTTTGCGAACGTCTGGGTCATTTTTGAAACGATCCCTTTTGAAGTTTCGCGATTGGGATTCATGGTACTCTTCTCTTTGCGCAACCTTTTCACCTTCTCTGAGAGTATGGTAACCTGTAACTTGTCTTCACAATGTGAATGTGTGGTAGAGATGACGCCTGAAAAAGATTAGTGTATTACAAATGCTAATTATATGGACTTAATTCAAATGTACTCTGACAGTGCTTAAGAATTTATGGTTTCTTATCAGGTGTTTCCCTGATTTGGAGAGAACCATGCGAGTGGTTGATCTGAAAGAGCAGATAGCTCCCAATGCCATCATACCAAGGTACGGTTTGCCTAAAATAAAGCACATCATCATTGTAGCGAACCACCAATTAATCGAGTTAAGAAGGTGCAGCGAGTCTTAGACGCAGTAACTTGACTTGCAAGTGGTGCGAAGCGCGGGAAAAGCAGACGGAGCCGCTGCCAAGTGCAGGAAAACCTGGAGTTGGTACCAAGCGCGGGAGAATTTGCCGCCGAGACGCGGGTAAACACTTAGCCCATTGCCAGACGCAGGAGAGCTAGCCAAAAAAAAATTGCGTAGCAAAAAAGTAGAAGTACATTTTTGCGGTTGTAATTGCGAGAAATGCCGTCCTACTCTTTTCGAAGCGTGAAGCTATTTAAGTACGGTTCAGAGGTTAGGTAGGACATAAACGCTCACTGGTAATTGAATATGTTTGGAAAAGTGTTGTTTTCATAATATTTTTAGCCGCACTACTGTGCCTCTTGAGCTTCGACGCTGGTGGAGCTTTTGGCCAAACTACACTGACGTTGACCCCGCCTCTACTACGATATGCGTTGATGGCGAAATTGGAACCGTGTTGAAAACCTACCGGGAGGTAAATATGCCACATATGAAACGATCTTCTGCTGATCTTCTCTTCTCAGAGCTATCTCAACTGAGTGTTGAAAGTCATCCGGGATTGCTTTGGTTTCGATAAACTTTTCTCTGTGATTGGTCTAGGAAAACTCGCGCTATATTCTCAACCAATCAGATGCAAGTTGAAAACAAATGCGACTTGACCACTCGCGTTTTCCCGCGCTTTAAGCAATTTGCTTGAATTCACTTTTAATTCTTATTGGCTAATGACAATGTAAACCTTGGTTCTGATTGGTTGCTGGGATATCTTTGGTTTTAGTGTTTCGACTCCCAGTCTATTTACAAGCCAATATATATTTGGCAAATCTCTCAAATCAGATCACTAAAGGCTCATGAGAGAAATGCAATTGTGGCCCTTCTTGTCCATCATTTCAGGTTCTTCAGGGGGCTACTCAAGAGTGGTTCAATGGTTTATGGCCAGCGGTTAAGAAAATCATGGCACGATGGATGGAGGAACTAGATTCGGGAGATGGTAAAAAAAATATTTTTAAATACTCTCGGTAGTTGTATTTTTGGCTCATTGAGAATTTTTCGTTAAAAGATATCAGGCGTTTCTTTAATTGCATTATTCACTCTGTCGATGTTTCGTCTTCACAGGTTTGATTCGTACTCCTCAGCCTAACACTTATGACATCTGTTTCTATGGTGTGAATACTTTCACGTGCTGTCTTTATCATTGTGCATTACGGTTAGTAGCCACCATTGTTTTAGTTATGGTGTGAAAACCGTTCATCGTTAAGAATTTTCACGACAGATTGTCGATTAAACGGAACCAAATCATCGCTACAGCCAGTCAGAATAAAGAAGAAGTTGTGATGGAGCCAATGAAAACTCAGAATAAACACGCGTACCCGTCCTCCAGCGCGCGAAAACGCCAGTGTCGAAGTCGCTTTTGGTGCAAAAATATAATCAATGCAAAGTGATTAGCTGAGGGGAAGACGCGAGATTTCTAGACCAATCACAGCGCAAAGTAAAGCAAACCCTATGTTTGTACACTCATTAGGGAGAAAGTTTGCATCATTATTTGTTAAGTTAAAATGAGATGTTAGAGAGTTTTTAGTCGGAATAATTCAGAAATACAGGAGAATGTGAGCTTTATTTATTTATTCATCCAGTATTATTTTAACTTTTTGTATCGGAATGAGTTGTTGAGCTATTTTTCTGTTTTCGATTGAAAGTACTTTGCTATATAGAGGTGTGTCTTTGACGCATCCTACTGTCAAATGAACTGCTACTGTACAAAGATGGATTTGTCCCAAACTGATCCATTATTCCTCTTATTGTGTTATAGAGCTGCGGAGGAGATGGCTAAACTTCAAAAAGAATCGGTACAGTAAAGGTTTTTTCCAACTTTTTCCGTATTTCCATAGTTTAACCTTGTAACTCCCAGAGGTGATAAACATACAGCTTCTCCCTATAATATCCATATATTATCCAGCAAACAGGTAATGGAAATACTAAACTCAACATGAAGAAGTTGTTGTCTTGAGCTAACACCGAATTCTCGTAACTATTTTACAAGGAAATGTGTCGCAGCTAGAGGGGAGAATTAACAATTAGATCTTGGGGGTAAAACTGTGAAAACAACACACCTGGGGGGAGGGGTGCGGGGGGTGTTAGGAATTCTCGAGTACATGTTACTCCTGATTGTAATGAAAAGTTAATCATTTTTGACGGTGAAATAACCTGATTTGCCTCCATATCGCCAGGAGATTCTAGTTTAGTGAATCGTGTCCCACTTATTGCCAGTCCTAGCTTTGCTTCTCAGCTTGCGAGCAGGTCTTTATTATTAGCGCTGCCGGACGCGCGTTTCTCTTACGGGGGGAAAGTTTGAGAAGAGTCGGGAAGCGGGAAGTTTATCGGGGTCCCTCCCCCCTCTGGTGGACCTTTCGCCGGCTCTCGCTGCTCTAGGCCTCTCAATTTCCCGCGGGCGAAGACGCGCGCGAGCCGAAGGGCTAATCAGGATAATGGCCTGTTCGCAGGCTAATGCATTTGGAAGGTGTCTACAATTGTTTAAGATAAGATCGCTTTCTAGAAAAGCTTTGAATGTTTTAATTTTTTGGGCCTTTTAGGACCTTGCTGATGAGTACTCCGCCAGGTTCAAACTGGGAAGTGTCAACCTCGATAAGGCCTGTTACACAAACGGAAAATGGTACACACAGGTAAGCCCTTTCTTAAAAAGAACTTTTCGGTGTACAATGCCCTTCATGGTGACCCAGGAGTGGCATAGCTCAGAGCCTCTTTATCAGGACGAGGTAGCAATCCGTTTGAATTTGTTCTAAAGAATGCAAGTGAATTTGATCTGAATTCTTTGATCTGCTTTGGTTTCTTTTTTCTGCAACTCATTATGTCTGAGTCATACGTGAACTGTAATTTTTTAGTTGGCGACGTACGCGTTTACGTTTTTGCTACGGTTTGTAAGAACGAACCCCATCTATTAATGCTTCAATGACTGAGTCTTTGATCCTAGTCGCTATGATTATTGAGGAGAGAGGAAAAAGGGAGAAAGTCTTCACCTCTTCCATCCCGGACTATAGAAGGATACTCTAGCCGAAAGAGGATCCTTTTTCGTGCGTGTGGTGAATGAACGGGCGCGGCTTCCGTAAGTGCGAATGTGAAAAGGGGAAAACTTTCTTAAGTTGTTCGAAAGGATCAAGCCACGACTCCATTTGATTATTTTTAGAGGTTACCCATAATCATCCTTTACTGAATCTTTCATGGTAGAGAGTGAATGCATCGTTTCACATCTTGGATCATTAAAGGACTCCTTTGTAATAAGGGGTAAAGATTTACACCTTCGGACGAAGTAAACCCGTACAAAATTTCCTTATCACAGCCCTTCCTCCCTTTCCACTAAACCTCTGCATTTTAATGTCTTAATTGTAATCTGTATTGTTGTGTAGGTGCTAGATCCAGAGAATCCGAAAGAGGAAATTGCCGACGGTAGGGTGACTTTCTAATGTAATTTTTGAGTGGGGCGGATGAAGGGAGAATGCATTGCGTGACAATATTAGAGAAGCAGTGGGCTTGAGTCTTAGATATTTTTAATTTTAGGAACGTTCATTGATTGTCTGCTTGGCCAGTGGTGGGCAAACGTTTTGCAGCTCGGTGATATTTTACCAAAGGAGCATGTCATGTCTACTTTGGAGAACATTTACTCCAGAAATCACGTGGATTCGTTTAATCCAGGTATGGCAAATTGTAGTCGATGAAGATGGTTCTCTCGTGCAGGTTTTCTTTTGTTTCTAGCGTGACGTGTGTCTGCTAAGTTTCATAGGTAGTCGTCTTTGCAGCTGTCATTTGAAATGTCACGCAACGCTGCTAGAAGAAGAGCTGAGAGGAGTGTTGCGTGACATTTTCGAGAACGGCTACGACGGGTGAATCCTTCTGGTTAGGTGAACAATGATACTGAAAGTATTAATATTAATACTAATATTAATGATAATAATAGTTATAATAATTCACTGTTAATTCAAATGTTAGAATAAAATTTATCTTGAGCTTAAACGTTGGAAACCCAAGCAATGTGACTCGGCGTAACCTGCCAAGTAATGTCGCCGCGAACTTTACGTTTAGTGTAAGTTTACCTTATCTAAAAAGGTTTTTCGTGTAATTTCATTCCTGATAATTGTCGCAAGTTTGGTTTTAATTCTTATGTATCCATAATATATATTTTTGTAAGACTTCTCATCTCAGATCTCGTATTATTGTCAAAAACTATTAGAATGTATCATCATAATCAGACCTTGACGAGTTTTCGATTGTTACGTTATTTGGTTTTTTAAATTTACTATCTTACGTATAAAAAGGAATTTTTAGAAACATTTGATTGCAAAATTAAACGCTTAAACGTTATTGAAATACACAGAAACTTCTAAACACTTTAAAAGATTTTGACCACGCTTCGACGTTACTTCACTTCATTATCAAGTCAAGAGTTAAAATGACAATAGAAAATATTTCATTATATATCAGATTAAGTAACGTTATATTTGAATTATGTCTACTAGCGGACCAGAATCCCCGGAAGTTCTTTGACCAGCGAGACGCCGGACTCTACATTTGCCGGTGGCCTGGGTCGCCTCCAGAAGACCCCTTCCGGCACAGTAGTGAGGTTAGTAGTGCATTTCATCCAAATTGTGTCCAATTCGTGCCTGTTAGTTTCAGCAGGTGTATAAACTTTCGTTTATGTAACTGCTTTATCTTCTTGTCACGCAATGTTAAGAAAGAATGACGCATGTGTTATGAGGTTTTATGTCAGATTTGAGTGTTCCTGTCGGCTGTCAAGCGGCTGTTGACGTTGGGACATGCTCATGGCATGTCACGCAATAGTTATTCGCAGAAGGACGATTTAGCTATGCAGGTTACCATCTTAAGCACCCTACACATAAGAGACTTAATTCTTAATTCTGTGAAGACTTGTTCACAAACGTTTCTACCTGTGTCACGCTCACGCATTCGTAACTTAGAATACACAAAGATTGAAACGATGAAGTGTGTGTCTTCAGCTAAAATCTAATGTATTTTATATTTCTTTTTTCGCTTAATAAGGGAGCCTGGACTGGTTTAGAGTACGAATATGCCCAATTGTGTTTGAATCAGTCAATGGTCAGCACAGCACTCAGTGGTATTGACAGTCATTTTGTCTTGTGTTTGCGCGTTTGTTCATTCATAAGGTGTCTTATTTCAGGATGTTTGACTTTACACCCTTCCTATCTCCTTTTGTTTAAGATTCTTTTGTTCACATTGCACCTTTTCTGGTTTAGTTTTGACCGACACCCGTGAAAAGTATGACGGCACTCGACGCAGTCCTTGGAACGAAATTGAGTGTGGCGACCATTATGTTCGCCCAATGGCAGCTTTTACCTTTTTTGAGTTCGCCTCAGGTCAGGTAAGGAGCACTTCGCTATCAGTAGCTCTTAATTATGATATTGACATCCAGTGCTTGTGTTGTAAGGTTTTGCTCTTATGCGCGGCGGTTTTGTGTGCGCTTTTCTTTCCCGCTTGATGATTGTTGAAAAAAGTTTTCAAGCACCTTACGGAGACACGTCTATCTGCTCTGGGATTTTCATAAAAAAAAAAAAAAAGAATGATGTCTTTCAAGGGGATTGTGTCTTTCTTTAATGACGTCACCTGAGCTGAGCTGAGCTAACCAACTGAGATTATTGCGACCTCAAATTGATAAGAATAAGATGAAAATGTGGCTTCCTAAATCTTTAACTCCTAAGAGCGACTAGCGTCTAATTTCTCCATACAATATCAGCCTTGAATCAAACAGTAACGTCACGAGAATAAAGGAAATGATCACCAACTAAGGAAGCTTTTTTGATTGTTAAACAAATTCTCCTTTTCAATACCTGTGGAAAGCTGTAGAGAACTGTATGGAGAATATGCATACTGAGATTAGGGTGTAGAGGGTCAAAGAAATGATGATTGAACGTAAGTCTTCACTTTTCTTTGAATTATTTTTTTTACCAGAATTGGAAGTTGTCCGAGGTTGGGAATCCTTTGATCAGCCTTGGGTTTGCACCGCGAATTAATCCATCAGACTTCTGTGGCTTTTTTATCACTGCCACTGCTTGGGGTCAGTTTAAACAAAAGGGAGATGAAGAAATGAGAGATGGAACTGCTGAGGTAAAATATTATGATTTTTTTTTGTACGAAGTTTTTTTCTTTGCCCCAGTGAACATAGCCAAAGTTTAAAACAGACACAGTTTTTCGCTGATGCTGTGTTTCGTTTTCACACGACAGAACTCAAACAGGTGTTCATGAACCTTAGATATTCGCTTGTGTTTGCAGTGCAAGAGAATTTTAGCATTCAGTATCCACTTTGAAATTTTTCAGACTCTTTTTGTTCGTTTTCCAGCTTTGTGTTCATCATGGAGAACTACGCCTATCACAGCTCACTCTCAAGTCACGTGCCTCATCTGCCTTAGCGCGCATGGCAGGAGGTAGTAACGAGTTGCTGGTCACAACAGTGGCTCAGGTACAACATCTTTCTTTTGCGAAAACAAACTTTAAAGACCGTACAATGCGGTTGAATTAAGTTTATTGTGAATTTATTTTGTGTCTTTTTGACTAGGACGCTGAACAGCTCTCAATCAACTTCGATCCTTGTGGAATTCTGCTCAAAGCTGGCGAGGGTCTACATGTCACACTTTCAGGTATGCTTTTTTTATGTACTTGCCATTGAGACGAAATTTATTCCGGTGGTTGCGCCAGTTATATAAATCAATCATCAAAGACTTCAACCCAGTAATCCGTGCGTGCACCGAAATGGTCTCGGTTGAACATATCGTTGGGGAGGTCGGTCGTATTTTTTTTCTAAGTTTTAAACAGAATGAACTGATTTACTTTCGATTCGATTTTGTTAGGGAATAAAGATCTTATTTTTTCTACCATAATTGAAGGACTCACGCCTATTTCGGTCACGCTTACTGTCTTTAACTTTTTACTTTCAAACAGGTTAAGCCTGTTGCATTTTATGGCTGTCCTCGAGAGAGGACATGGGTGGCTTTGCATCGTTACCAACGAATGATCCGTAGACACACTCCAAGATGGCGTCTAATTAAATTATAAATGTACGTTAAGGTATTATTAAAAAAAAAACCCTACCACCCCCTCCCCTCACCTCCTCCACTTCCCTGCCCTACCACCGACAAGTAAAATAGCATTTTAATCAACATCTGATTGGTCCAAATTCTATTTCTAAAAACTTGAGGTTGTAACCAGGCCTTTAATGAAATAGCCTGGCCTAAAAAATTACAGAGAAGTACTAGAAACGACATTTGAGACGGATATGCTATAAAAACGACTCTGAAAACTTCATAATAAAATTACCAGAAACGAAGGTTTAAACGTTTATGCACTAGAACTTGACATATGCCAGCATTATGCTAATCTGAGTAACTTAGTATTATCGACTGTGTTGATAACGTAAATTGGCCACAATAGAGAGTTTAAAAGCTGACGTTCCGAGTGATAGCCCTTCGTCATAGCGAATGACGAAGGGCTAACGCTCGAACGTCATACACACATACATACATGATTTGTTAAAGTAGGTCGAAAAGTGGCAGCTTAAAAAGCTGATGTGGACCTACCTAAAACATTTTTATAGAAATTTTTATACAACAATATACAAAATTATGAATTGAATCTTTCTGTTAAAAATGTTTACAGAAAAAATTTACGGAAATATATACAAGACTGTTAACTAAACTTAGCAAAAAAAAAGTTTTTACAAAGTAAGAAAATAGATTACTTTAAAATACCACTAATAAGTTGATAATAAATGAAATTGTCTATATCTTTGTTAAGATTAGTAATGGTTCCTGGAACAAATGTCACTTTTTTTAACCGAGTCTTGTTGCATTTTAGCTTATTTTTTTTGTAATTATCAAGTTTATTTAAGAGCCTAGATAAACTGTGAAGAGATTTCCATACAGTCGGGGTCCTGAAATAGAAACTGTTCCTCTCGAGATCTGTTTTATAAGTTTGATTTCAAGGAGTGGGCCTTTGCGCTTCGATTCAGTAAAAATGACAAACGGAAGTAATCTGCTGTTCAGGCCTTGCTTGACTTTGAAAATTTCAATTACTAATCTTCTTTCATATAGGTATCCTCAGTCTTGCCACTTGATAAGATCAAGGTTTTCATGGTCCAAATAGTTCTTCGAATTTTTATGAATATTTGTACCTACCTTGATGTGCGAGTTTTCCATTTCAGTAAAGATAGCAACAGATCAACTACCCCAGACTCCGATACACTAAGTCACTCGAGGTATTACAGTCTGAAAATAAATTTCTTCCAATAGATGTTAAGGAAGATAACTCATCTTCCTCATGACACATAGCTGGTTATCAAAAGCTTTTAGTGCTTTATCTACATGTTTTCTCCGTAGCAGTCGGTTATCAGTCAGAACTCCTAATAGTTTTGTTTTGGTGGTATATTCTAGCAATTTATCGCCACATCTAACTGGTAATAAAGGTCCCACAAATTCATCTTTTTGCATTATCGTTATTTCAGTTTTTCAAGTATGTAGGGTAAGTTTGTTAAGTTCACACCAAGTGCGGATCTCTATAAAGAGCAGATTGAGCTTTACTACAACCTCATCGGCGCTATTTAACAATTGGTTCATACGTCAGCGTGCGTTCATTGAGATATGAAGCACTTGGGAGGTTTGAAGAGCACTAAAGATGTTAAGAGTTGCTAGAGGCGTAGCCAAGAGCAACTCTAGCTTCTTGAGTGCTCTCCAAACTTCCCAAGTGCTTCATATCTCGATGAACGCACAGCTGACGTATGAACCAATTGTTTTATAACATTTTCAACCCGATGGAAAAATTTTTTTCTCGAGGGATTTGTTCGCTGACGTCATGAGCGCGCACAATAGGAATATGAAGCACGCTCGCGCAATTGAATTTGATTACACAAATTTACTGGCTATGTTATAATTCCAATTACGAAAGCTGTTGTATCATCCGCATAAAGGTGTGCTTCACCTTGGGATATATAATCAGAAAAATTGTTTACACAACTGGAAAAAAGTCCTGGGGCTTAACGTGAACCCAGAGGAACTCCATATCTCACCTCTGGTGGAGGAGATAGGATGCCATTTAACTCTACAAACTGTTGTCGACTTGATACATAGCTCTGCGACCAGCAAGATAACTGTCCACTCAGGCCGCAAGCATGCATTTTTATAGTGTAAAATGTCGTGACTGACTGAGTCCAAAGCCTTTCTGAAATCCATAAAAATAGCTCCTACAACTTTCCCTTCATCTTTTGATCGTTTCCAAGATTCCGTCAGGTACAGGAGTGACTCAGATGACTGACCCTTTCCGTATCCCCACTAGTGTTTCTGCAAAATCTCATTTAAATGAGGGTCGATTGTATCACAAATGATAGATTCTGTGATTTTACTAGGGATGGTCAACATAGTCAGTGGTCTGTAGTTACCACACTCGCCGTTATCACTTCCCTTGTGCAAGAGTTTGACTTTACCAATTTTCCATTGAGTTGGATATTTTCCTTCATCGTTGCTCATTTTTCTTCTGTGAGCAACATTGTAGCAGATCTCCTTGGCAACGATTTTCATTTCCTTCGGTGTTATACCATCACATCCCTAAGTTTTCTTAATGCTCACTTTCCTCAGCTTACTATAAAACCCGTCGCTATCAAGCACAACTTCAGATATCGTTGGAGTTACTCTTGCGATGTAAGACTTATCAGCGGTAGTTGGAGGAAAATGGGATGCTAACTTTTCGCCAACTGTGGCAAAAAACGAGTTCATGGTTGTCGATTTGACAAGATCGTCATGAATTGATGTGTTGTTGTCATCTTTCACTTGTCCTGTCAACTGTCTCGCAATCTTCCAAAAATCCTTTGGTTCTCCTTTCGCTTCACCTAACGTCTTCTTCCAGCAGTCTGCTTCCGCTCTTTTCAAAGCTTTGTTTTACGCTGTTTCTCACTTCCTTATATCTTTTCCAGTCGCCTGGATTACCTGACTTTTGTGCCTTTCGCAGCTGCTTGTATTTTTTGTTTATGATCTTTCGTATCCCTGCATTTATCCACGGCAGAGATTCAGCTTTGAAACTCTTTACGGTGGCCAATTTACTTTGTCAACTCAGTTGATAATAATAAATTACCCTGTTATACTCTTCCACCGACGCAGCACCACTGTTTCTTTAGAAACTTACCCCCTCTATGCTTATGTGAACCTAGTTATTTGCCTGCGGAAAGTTTTGATAGCACGAAAGATACGTAAAACTTGCTCAAGGCGCAGCCAAAAGGAACTGCAGCTTCTTGAGTGCTTCAAAAACTTTCTAGGTGTTTCATATCTCGATAAATGCTCAGCTGACGTATGAACCACCCCGCCATTCCGCGTGGGTGACCGCCTGCATATTCTCCATGCGTTTCATCACACACTTCTTAAGGTGCTGACAAGGAGAATTTGTTTAACAATCAAGAGCTTTATAGTTGGTGATCATTTCCTTTATTCTTGTGACCTTAATGTGTGATTCAGGGGTGATATTGTAAGGAGAAATTAGATGCTTATCACTCTTAGGGTATAAAGGCTTATTACAAGTCGGACTGTAATTGTCTGGTTTTACTATGTCTACCGGCCACCGTAAAGAGTTTCTTATGCTAATGTTTCGAGCGTCAACCCTTTGTCGTAACCGCTTCCGTTTAATGGAGCAGTAAATTGTTTTTATCCAGTTGGATCGACGCCTACGTGATTAGTGCATTTCAGTTTAGAGTAAGACCCCTTGAGATCAAGACCGTTTTAGGAAGACCGGTTGGACAAAAACCCTCGATAATTAATCAAAACCCACAGACACTGGTAAGAAACAACTTATTTTGTGTATATTTTGTTACGTGGCTGTGATTTAAAGCGAAAATTATTGTTATATGATGAAATTCGACTTTTTTTGGAGGTATTTCAATTGACACGAAGACGTCTCAAAATTGTGACCATTCTTTAAGCTATGATCGTAACGATACTGAGGTAATTTCTTGATGCGATGATTTCAGTTGGCCACTTCGAATTCGATATAAGAACGCCCCAACGAATAGGAAAAGAAGGAACGACCTTATGTTGCTTTCAGTGGTGTCTTTCGTATGCGCGTGTATCAACCCAGGATTCGAGATTCGATTTAGACCAGCCGTAAACTAGAACATAGTACTTAATAGTGTTATGAATTCGTGAGAATACTGTGAGGAAACCAAAAAATATATGCCAAAAATGCACGTAAATTGTAGCGACAATGATGATTTAACTCCATGTTCTGACAAGGAACGTCGCTTGACTGAATTTTTTATCATTACGAGTTGCTTCGAATCGAGTTGAATGGTAAGTGAACTTTATTGATTTCAAAGGCTGACATGATCTATTCATTGTGTCTGTCACAAATTTTCACTTGTCTTCACTTTATTCCGACGCCTTTTTGATATTGTAGCGAGCTGGAGTAAGGAACGACATATACATTCTCTTTAGTTCAGTTAAGTGAGCGGTTAAATTAAATATGTGTATGATCCTACTGATACGAAATCAGGCAATATCTTGTTGATCATGCATATCGTTCCTGCTTTCTTACATTCTCTCTTCCTTCCTTTCATTCTTCTTTATTTCTTTCTTTCATTTTCTTTCATTCCCCCTTCCATTCATTTTTTCCTTCTCTCATCATTTGATTCTACCTCTCTTTTCCTTCTCTTTTTTCATGATATTAACGCAAAGCTGCATCTGTTGCTTCAGCAACGAGTTTCAGAGATAGAGTCCATTCCTTGATTATGGCTTCCTTGAGAGACAGCAGGAGACTGTAACACAAATGGTTGACCACCTCTGTTCTTTTTCTTACTCATTAAAAGCCCTCTGAGAGGACGGCCTGCCAGTCTTTTAAGAGATCTACTGAACTTGTCATTTTTAAACGCGAATATGAAAGGGTTAAGACAGGCATTCACCACCAAACAAACAGGAGGAAGCCACCACAGCAGAGTACGATTCATTCTAACATCTTCGAAAACATGTCCTCCATTTATGATAAACCACGCCAGAGCAAAATTAGGCACAGCGAAAAACACGAAACTTGTAAGAACAATCAAACTAATTCGCTTGGCTAATTGCGATTCTCTACGTGTGCCTGCCCTGCGCGCAGATTTTCGCACAACGACGAAAATATGCAAATAAAGAAATACGACGAGGAGATAGGTAAATACTAGAAACAGCAGCACTATATCGCTAATAAAAATGGAGGGTATTTTGTCGGAGTTTCTGTGAAAAAGACACATTCTCCCGGGTTTCGCGTTATGTCTCATGTCAAAAATTTGCGCTAAAGTTGCTGATGTGGCGCCCGTAATCCAAGTCAGCGGGAGTGCTATTCGTAAAGCTTTGTAGCCTAGCCTTATGTCAGGGTTCATACAGAAAACGATGGCAACATATCGTTCAATAGTCATCAACAGTGACGTCAGTCCTCCATCAACTTCTGCTAAGATAAACAGGTACCTTAAGTAGGTACAGTAGATGTCCTGCCAAGCTTTGAATTCCTGAAGGTCATAGCCATGCCCGAAAGCCATTCCAAACGAGTAAATACCAATCAAAAAGTCGCATACTGCCGTCGCTGAAACCAATAAAAATGGCGGACGTCTTCGAAGGCTTTTAGTCAATACAACTGTTATAATAACCAGCATATTGGTAAAAGTTGCGATGGTTCCCAAGATGAACAAGAGAGGGCGAAGTTTTTTTATTAAATCCCAACAAATATCAAATCTATCTGGCACAGTTTTAGTCTTATTTACCACAGTAAGAGACAGGGTGCAGTTTCGTCTTTGGAAACACACCTTCCTGTTTCTCGAGACCTGAAATACAACTTGTTTTTGTTGAATCCGGGAGCATCCACCACTATTGAAGGACCTCCTTTGATTCCCTTGTGTCTTGTTTGCCTTATCTGTTTCGTTAACAGCAGATGGGTTTGTTATATTATTCCCGTCCAGGTTTCTTTGTTACATAACAAAAAAAAAAACAGAATACATAAGGAAAATTGTACAATCTCGGTCCCAGCGATTTTCTTCCACCAGGAAAGCGAGGGAGAGAGATCTTGCAAACGAGAATGATCATATCACCAAAACTGAAACAAAGTTAACTTGCTCCACCTTTGATAAGACTGGTTAGATTGTGTATCGTAAAGCCAAACCTTAAGGAATTACCACAACTAAAAGACAATGAAGGTCAGTATACCAAGGAGCCGATGTAAACTCGAAACTCATTTTTTAAAAAACTTCAAGCGCGCGAGAATGCCAATTACCAAACTGCGATTGGTCTCAGCTTTGAATACGATTGGTTGAAAAGGTGGTACGAATCTTAAGATCAATTCTGAGGTGCAGTAAACCAGGGTGAATCAAATCCTGGATTTCCCCGGCCAACACACAATTGAAAACTACTTCAGGCTATTCATCATGTTATCTGTGTTAATAGTCTGGCACCCTTACATCTAGTAGGGTTCTGAGC